CTGGTTTTATACAGAAGGCACCTGAAATTGTTTTGAACGTTACGAGGAGATGGATTCGTAGGGTGAAGGGAATGGGAGAAGATAAACAAGAATAACCTACCCTTTGGATCCAGACTCATTGGACGGAGCTTTAAGTTCGAGACTAGTGGCGCGACCACATTCAATCGAATCACCATCGCCTACAATGAAAATGAGATCACAAGCGCAGGATATGCAACTGTGAAGTATTTCATTGTTACGATGATAGTCTGAGAGACCCACAATCGCAAGCCTAGTGCATAATAAAACAAGTGTGAACATTTAAAAGCCATGGATTATGCATCATGCGTTTCGTGTTTTTTATGTAAGTAGACAGTCTAATCTTTATAATGTCGATATTTAAAATCAAATCCTACGAGAGGACGTTACCAGTAACTAAATAACGTTGTGAGACCAACAAAGAAAAGCTTTTCGTTAATGCATGACCAATGTTATATTGGTATGACTACCAACATCATCCCATGAAAGCATCTTTAAGCAATTCCAATAACAACTTTCATCTCGTCGGTTTAGTAACAGAACACAACCCCATTTAGTGTCGGACTAATGATAATCCACTCATTTCATAGCATCATTCCATAAATGCTGATAGAGATTGTCAACCTCTTCAGGATGACGGGATGAAATCCACGAGTGGGATTGCTTCTGCACTAGTCCAATGTTTTAATTAGCCTGACACTATCGCAGCCCAGGGCATAGAGACATCCAGCATTCACATTCAGTTTTTCTTCAAACTCTCCAATTATTCGCCTCTTTCAACGGATCAATTCGAAGCTGAGAGTACTCTAAACACTGAATTAGTGGCAACAGAACGACTATTCAATCTACCCAGAGCACCTATGCGGATGAAGACGAATTCGTACTCCTGACGTATAAGAGCACGACAATCTGCCCTCTAAGGTGGAATTTGCTCACACATTCTGGAGACATCTTCAGTCCGGAGGGACAATTGTTGCGCGCAACAAACTGCAAAAAGCATTTCACTTGCTGGCAATGGTCACGTGACACAAGCGACACTATTAATTACATCTCTTCTCGACTCCACCTTATCCAATGGAACTGAAGGAAAAACCTTCCCTACTATCTCTTGTAATCAATGTGTACAAATTAAAAATGTAAGAGGCATTGTCGAATTTGTATTGGATCGGTGTCTTTCCAGAGGCAGAAGTGCAAACCACTTACAGTGGGGGCGGTTATTTCTGATTCAGCCACCGGTTTTTACACCTTTAAAGGTGAACTAGTGCAAAGAGGACTTCACGTATCATAATTGCTAGACGTTGTGATAGGAGTGGCTCACCCATTTTTTTATTGAAAGTACCGAATTCCGAAGGAAACAGCAGGTATTTCCATTAATTTAATGAAACTAGTTGCCGATTCAGTAGTTGGAAAAAGTCCACAACGGTTCAAACGTTCAAGCTTTTAACTCCTCTACAATCTATGATGGATGAGTGACTGCTAAATCTACATATTTTTTAAGGTTTGCTATCATCAGCTTTTGGGTATTTGAGCAAATACACCTTTTCTACCTTTTTAAACTTCGTGATTAGACTCGAGTGTCAAAAAGTAAAAAACGGTGGCCCATTGACGATGAATTTTCCATTTTATACGAAGTTGGTCAATGTGGGTTTGTTTTGACAGCTGAGGGGAGTGCCAAACTTGCAATTTTGTCGAGTCCATCACGAACTATAAATCGTTGCCAGGCGAGAAATCAGAATTACACAAGTTCTGTTAATTTCAAAACGTGGGTAAAATCGTCCAACATAAATGCACCACGCTCGCCGCTTACGGCAAGCTTGTGTCACATGACCGCCCATGAACAACGCGAGCGCAGACGACAAACAAATGAACGGACTACTTTAAAGAAGCACCAGACAGAAATGATAGGTGTGCCCTTGCTCTGCCACAGTTGGGCGTGGTTGCATGTATACAGGAAATGATTAATCATTCTACCGCATCCGCTTTCCAGCCGGGCCTAATAGTGCAAGGCGGATTTGCCATTTTCACGAACAGTGAAAAAGAGCGGATTTAGCACAACCAACTTTAGTTAATTTCATCAGCGAAGATATCCTGTTTTTGGAAAAACAACGCTTTTCTACAGCAGAGACTATTAGCGTTGAACCGTTTCGAAGATGCTACTATGTAGCCACAGGGTAGGGAAACCTAGGAAGAAGCGACATGATTACAAAAGACATGGGTGGATGGATGAATGGATGGATAGATGGGCAGATACGGGATGGATGAATGGATGGATGGAACTAGAAAGAAGTAAAGGCATCTCAATGAGTAAATATCAGTAATAATGACTGCTTGCCTTCCAAATTTCACTCTGCTAATTCAACTAGATGCTGTGTTAAAACCTGGCCACTAATTCATGCGTATTTTGAGATGCAGGTACAATTGGTTTCACTTCACCGCTAGTAAACCTGGTCAGTCAAATGGATAGCTAATTTCCACCATTAACACCACCAGGTAGAAAGGAACACATTTATGACCTGTGAACTAACGTGCTGTCTTCATGTTAGTTATTAGCCATACCCTCGCCGGGCAAACATCTTACGTGTTTAATATTCAAAGCGTCTGCACTACTGCTTCGGTTGGTTTTGAGAGGGAAAGCGTATTTTCAAAACCCACAAACTTTTCAAAATTCGTCTGGTAAAAAATTGGCAAGCGTAGCATTTTAAGCATTAATGATTGCCTATTCTCGTAATTAAGATTAATCAAATTGAAACAGCAGCGTCTCTGGTCTCCAGAATTTAACGCTCACCAACATCAGACGATTGACACACAACTCATTCACCCAAGTTTTCAATTTAAGCATAAAATTTGCACAAGCTTCTAGAAACGTTCTACCAGATGAAATTTCATAAAATAGTAGAAATCATAAGCGCGAGGAACTTTCGTTTCAGTGATGTGATGGGGGAAAGAAGTAAATGGTGTTGACAATATGAGCAAGACGAGGGGTTAACGAACACTCACCCTTACTTCTTTTAGGTGAATTCTTGGCGCAGAAAGTGCAAGGGTGCATAGAAGAGGGACTAAGAGATCTTGGACGATGACGACGACCCTCCTCCGAAGGCTCTTTTGCAAGTTCGTAGATGGATGTGGACGACGCTGATTGCTGCAAGCTAAAATTTTACAAACACAGAAAAAAGTTAAAGCATACCAAAAGGTTTGACCACAGTGGTGGTAAAAATTCTGTTCATATCTTCTAAGCTACTAGTATAGAATAAATCTACTTCCAAAGTCTTAAACTCGATAACCCCTCCAGCGGTGACCTAGACTCCAGACGCCCTTTACTCCTTGCTGAGAAGATATCCACTTTTGTTGATCCCTTAAAGAAGACATCCATTTAAAGGGATCGACTGTTTATTACAGGCGGCTGGATCTGTGTGTGCACAGAGCATGAAGAACAGTAAATCCACATTAGTTGTTGAACTAATCCTTTAATCTCGGTGCCCCATTGTGACCAGCAATGAAGCGAGACTAGACTTGGACGAATCGAAGCCGACCAAAAACTGTCAATACCATTTGGAGGCATGATACCTCTTCAAGTTACAAAAAGCATACATCTGGATAATGTTAAGGTTTTCTAAAGAAAATATTGCTACAAAGGGCGAATGACACACAAACTGGGTTCGCTGCAGCGATACTTAGTAGACTATACAGTTCGAGGCCCGTGAATTGCACTACAATTATTGCGTTTAAAGGTTTCCCCTCGGAAATGGGAAATCATTCCATGATCCTCGTCCCCCTCCTCGTGGTCGATGTCAATTCACTCAAGCATTGTTGTGGTGCCTAATAAGAAAAAGCAATTACTGAGCTCTCTAAGAGCTAACAGCCATATAACAGGTTGATACTCGTTTTACTTATACACCCCATTAATGGGGTCCTTAGGCTTTACTCGATTCGGTCCACAAAGCAGTGATATGGAGCTCTATCTAGGGCACTCACTGTATGTCCTTTCACGCTACTGCAAGCCCATAAAAGCTAATTTTTCTATAAAAATTCACCAGGCCACAGTTTATTAACGATTAAACAAAGCATTTCGGATTGTTTTCGCTCCAGACTGCGAAAAAGTTGGGTGATTTGGAAAAAAAAACATATATTACCCTCGAGGAATAGATCCTGACTGCAGCTCCAGACTCAATGTCCGATCAGAAGGCACTGGGGCTTCTAGAAATTCTATAAAATTAAAACCACTTTACAAAGCCTAGTAAACACTTAGTTGTAAGCATTCATGTTAGCTGGACACTACTCTATACTTACGAACAGTTGAGACAGGGGCCGTGGGTACAGCAGCCTCCAGCAGGGAATTTCGATCAGACATTCCAGCAGTAGCAGAGATCGAATTTTCGCCATTCCTAATGACATCGGCGTCTGATCGGGGTAGTAAGTTGTTTCGAATTGGGGATGAGTAAGCCTGGAAAGAAACCGAAAAAAAAAACTAGGAGTAAAGCCGTCCGAACGCACTTTTCTTAGCAAAGGAATTAGATCTAGACTAGTAGATGAGATCCCGAAAAGAGATTGTTTACTCGGTTATTTCTTATGATCAAATGTATTCAAATGCCACAGTCGAAAACAACAAGACGTTGAACGGAACAACTTATGGATAGAGCACTTCAGTGACATTACTGCAGCAATACTATTAACGTGGGACCTTATGACACTTCCTATCTTGTTTAACAAGTATTTCCACTTCGTGGCCAGTGTTTCGAGTTTATTGAAAATGTGTATTCCAATAAATGCACTATAACTACCATTGTGATGAGATTACTTTGAAAGGGAAAAGGTGAATCAAAACTAACTGAATTATTTCTGGCAATCGTTGAATACAATTATTCACAGTGACAACGTGAAACGGCCGAGGCCATACGGCATCACAAGGAGTCATACCCTGGAAATTGCAAAAGTAGGTGATGGATCAGTCTCAAGTAAGAGCAGGGTCAGGTTGAACAGTAACAATATCTATGCACTGAGTGAGAAATGGACGGTGGACTCACATTCATGGTTAAGATCCTGAGGCAGTTTACTACAGTACCTCATTTTACCATCATAAATAAGCAGACTTCACACATCAGATGTGCACATTACGCAGATACAGTCATCAAAACCTATTTTGTCACCCATACAACAAAAAAATCGCTTTAATGTATTCCTCTGTAGCCCGTAAAACGTGATGCTGAGTTGTCTAAAACACACTTTAAATCTTCCAGGAGGGCTTCTGTAGGGGAAGTAGCCGGTCGAAACCGAAATCCAAATGACAAATAAACAGCTTATGAGATGGAATTTTGTGGAATGCAGTGAAACAAGATGAGCACGTGCACTATCATTGCGACAAATCAGGAACCACTCAAACAGCAATCGCTGTTGACTCTTTTCAAGAGGAAATCTCCAGTGTGAACAAAAGCAAAAAAGAAGAGAAAGCAACAGACAAAAGAAAAATGAACACCTTTATTCGGCCTTTTTTAAAGATTTTTTCTCCAAAATACTTATTGTTACGGTCTATAATGCCTTCCCAATGAGACACAAATCTGCTGCAAATTTTTCTTGCCTAAAATACACCTTTGTTTCCATCTCAACCTTATTTCTTAATCATCCATTCTGTTTTGCGTGGACTCAGGTAACTTCCGTGCAATAGCAAGAATGGGTGACAAGCATCACTAGGGAAGAACGGAGAATGGGGCACTGACTCCGTTGATTCAAAAGATGAGGCTTTTATTCCACAACATCCATACTTATATCGGGTAGTATCGAGTAGATAAAGCTGGGGCACAGTTGTTCAACTTTTAACAGGAAAGTCATTCACGATGAATAATTGCGCCCGCAGTCCGCCACATACGCATATTTTTTTGTTGAAAAGAAGTGGTGCAAGCCTTAGTATGAGACGAATAATGCGTAGATCGTTTGGAAATTAGGAACAGAGATTCTTCTTCAAAGTAGCTTAACAAACGTTGAGTGAATCAACACCTAACCTGACATTAGCCTGACTTAAGTAAGATTTTGTGCGATCTCCCAGCGATCGCAGGAATTGTGAGCTTCACAAAATATTCATGGCAAAAGAATACCTTTTTCAGTCACCAGCGCAGCGCTCTTCTCAGCAAAGAAAGTAGACTTTTCAGTGAATACCAGAGTAAACACGTTCTTCTACTCATTTGAAAGTTAATTTGGCTTTCACTGTCTTTTGTAAGAGCAGGATGGATTAGTGGCTACTTGTAGTGGAGACAAAAACAACCCCTCGTTCTTTGCTTCGCCGTGACGACTACACTAAGAAATTTCATGAACTCCTTCTCCCATGGGATGCATTTATTACCATTATGTGAAGCACAATGCAAATACCCTTTCGCAAAAATCCACCAAACACCGTTAAGGTTAAGATACCCAATGCGGAGAATTTTGATTATGGCCCTCCCATATTTCTCCAAACCTGATAGGTGATTATCGCTACTTATACACGCAAATTTAGGTTCAGATAAAATAAAAACGTATACTTAAAAGATGACCGAGTATAAAGCCTAAAAAGGCAAAAGATGGAAAGTTTAGCTCATCGACTGGAGCGTGGTTACTTTGAAGGGAATCGTGTTTAATCACCCCAATTACTTGTAGTTTGTATACTTCCAAAATTCGCCTTTTCTTATTTGCATAATGAATCAGGGAAATGAGTGATGCAGCAACTAGCACTAACACATAAGAGACAGTAAGCTTGAAAGGCTACCGGTCAGTGATTCCTCACTTTTCACGCACACTGCAGCATCGCGAAGTGCTCGTTGGACTGGTGGATGACGGACTGACGTGCGATGAGAAACGGCCTTGTATTCCAACATTTATCAGGCGAGTAAACACCTCACTGGTTATTTTCAAGCGAATCACTCAAAATTCCACACTACTAAGGTTTGAACCACTTTATCGTCACAAGTCAGGTACACACTTGCTTTGCGTGCGCGTGTGTGGTGGAGTGCGGACGCAATTGTTCGCTTGCTAAAGGCCAAACAACTACACCAGAGAGTTATCTGTCCGATGCATGCCTCAGTCTCAGCCTTGTTCTCCGTAACTCCCTAATGATATTCCTCCAAGTAGCGATCATCCACTTTTATTACAATTAGAGAGGCACATGGTCTCATGCGAATTATAAGCAGTGAGAAATAAGAGATTGGAAAAGAGGTAGCTAGGGTTAGACTTGATTTAGTCCTGAGTTTTAGAGATAAAACACATAAACGCGAAATTCATGATGAGCTTACGCCTTCTTGGGAAAGGATTAGGGGATAGTAATGGTAAATTTATATATATAAATCGCACGAACTTATTTAATTCACTAAGAGATACAATTTAATATTTTGGCAAAAACCCGAGTCTAGTCAACTATTGTCTAGCTGGCCACCATAAATTCGAGAAGCACATCATCCACTCTTTCCAAAACCTGACGTCTTTTCAATGCTCAAGCCCTGTTTATAGCATTTCACAGTTTGGCGGGGAGAACATTTACTCACAGAGTGGACCGCTCATTTAAAGTGGACAAGCATGGACGAGACAAAAAAATGTGCAATTGTCTTTCCGTACGTTTTAATCTTGGGCATGCATGAGTTCAGTGACTCATTTTAAAGAGGGATACAAGTTCTTGTCAAAAATGCCCGAACATAAACTACAGAATAATATGAGATAACACTTGACAACTTGTTAACGCTTAGTACTCGATAACTCGCCGTTAGTATTTACAACATTCCTCACTGAATGCTTTTCATAGCAGAAAATGTTTACTCAGAAAGCAGATGGTTACGCTAGACACAGAAAAAAAAAGCCAATTCAGTAAAAAAGGCATGCGGTTTACCAGCGTTTTTACTTACGGGGTTTATTTTCATGGACGTTCCCCAATGGAACTCTGTGATCAACTAGGTGAGACTTGATGAGTGTAGAATTTGCTACACAGAAGGCTCAAGGTGCAGCTCATCGACCTTCTTTAAAATCGTACTCATCGTCGCTACCCATTTGGAGTTGAAAATGTCGACGCATAAGATTATCAGACGTAGAAGTTTCAACACAGACGATTCAGAGAGTTGCTTACTACAGTTATATGAATGTTTATCTATTCAAAAACTTATTTTAAAGAGTACCTGAAGCATAATTGGACAAATTCTCGAGAGTCGAACCTGCTCAATTTTCTGTGCAATTGCGATCGCTAATCCATAAGATCTAAGTGAATATCGTTACCCACTCTCTCTGTCAATTGTTTTCGGAACAGAAAACAGTAAGTTAGCTGTAGATATAGATCAATCCAACAACATAAATATCCAGTCACCGTTCCATACTTCTGCACCACAATTATACAAGTGTTGACAAACTCGAAAGCAGTCACCGTGAACGAGTTTCCAAAGAAAGTCGAGAATGTACCGAAACCGATCAATCGACAAGGGAATCCTGGATTTAGCTAATCTAGCCTCTCCAGCACTTAGGCGATATTTTTTGTCCACAAGTTATTCATTTAATCACATCCAAGACTTCAGAGCAAAGAAGTTTATCTAAAAGAAGGATGATTCACTTAGACACAGAAAAATATAAATCCAACGATGCTTTTCGATGTCCGTCGAACAGATCCCACTCACATGATCAAGGGAGTTGACACCAGGTGGAAAAGCAGGAAGACGGGGGTGAGAGAAGAGGGATTTGTGGCGTGCACAGCGATTCCGCCGCCCCACGATGACTCCCACACACAGCGCTCGGCCCTGTCCATCCCTCTCCACTCCTGCTCTAGTGCCCTCCTCTACCTCTCTTGCCTCGATGCTAGGCCTAGAGGTGGACGGAGAGGGTAAGAATTCCTCACTGGTCTGTGTGACATGGCAACGTCGGGAGGAGTAGTTGGAGACGTAGATCGCCCGTCGGCGACGCGAGACCTGAAGTCTAAAATAGATGTGTGAAAAATTGGTTTGATATGGGAGCATGTTATGCTAAATAGGACACCCACTAATTGAAAAACTTGTAGTGCAAAAGAACCGCCATGTTCTGAAATGAAAATTGCGTACATTTCTGGAATCGAGATTCCAGTTCCAGTATTGGAAAGGGTGAAGCCATTTACCTAGGAACGTAACACCTATTTATAAGGGGCTTGGCGAAAAAAAGCGGCAACAAGTTAAAAGTATTCACGAAAGAATGGTAATAGATGCATCCAGAAACGGTGAGCAAAAGGAGGCAAAAAAAACGAAATTCGGAGGCTTTGCTTCGGGAGGAATGTGAAACACAAGTCCCTAATCTGTGGCAATTACCTGGTAATGAGGAGTAGAGAGCTAACTAGACGCAGAAATACGCAACTTGATGTTAGGAGTAATCTATGTGTCAATCTTGATAAGGAATACGTCAATTATGAGGTACGTAGCCCAAGACTGGACGCGCGTTACTCCGAGATATCTGCTATCATGGACTAGAAAACGCATTGTGTTTGGTTTGATCAACATGGGGGATCAAAGGTATGGGGAATACCGGCGAGGACAAGGCACGAAAGGTCGCTAGAAGTCAGCGGCATGGGAAGTTTAGAGCGCAAACAGGAATCAACGAGAGAGCACATAAAATAAAGTCAACATTAACCATTCTTTCTGAAAATATTTACGAAAAAGTAACTATGTTTAAAAAAAATGGTAACAATGAAGGTAACTAAAAACACGACGGGTGAAAAGTGGAGGAGAGCATAGATACAAAGGTTGAGGCGGATTTATAAGAGGAGCTTAACGCAACCCGAAAGCAGAGGTCAGAAATGTAGCGAAATGCCAATTAAACACACAAACACAACTGATTGGAATAGTTTTTTTGCCTTATGAATGAATAAGAAAAACACGAATTAAACTCATAGATGAACAAAACTACTGGAGCATTTTTATCAATTAATTAGTTCAAAACCCATTGAAAGTACTTTTGGGTATCTGATAGCTCACTTCAGTGGCTTGAACTTGTAAGTTTACAGGTCGACTGTGTAAAGCATAGATAGACTTGCATCAGACTATCGGTACGGTCTTTGCATATCGCAAAGTGCCGGTTGAATCTACTGCATGTGATTCGAGCCGGTCGTCCTGACGACCCAAGTTTAACTCTATTCCAAAGCTCCCAAAACAAGCTTCTCCTCAAATTTTTGACTAGCATTTGGAAAAAGTGTAGTTTTTCACAGAAATGGTTTTAATTAAAAGACTGTGTTTTTTTCCCAAGAAAAATACACGAGGCCACCAAGAAAGGAATGTACATAAAATTCTGTTAATTTATGTGTAAATGTGAATGATCAAATATGGCGATTTGTGAATTTAAATCAGTTATCACATTTTTATCATGCATGGTTGATTGAATGCCTTAACGGCATGCGTGTGTCCCAGAAGTATGAATCTGGCGATGAACCGAATGTGCTGCATCCTTCATGATAATGAAGACTTAAGTGTCGCTATTTATTGAAACAATTGCAGACTGACGTATCAAGGGCAACTCTAAGTAGTACTCAACGTCGTAAGTGATGTAACAATTGCTTTACAACTACAATTGCTGGGAGGGGAAAGTCGTTTTGGAAGCTACTAAACAAATGGTGCCCGCATCCATGGAAACATTAGACGGGAGAAAATATTGGCGGTTATGCCCGAACGACCCACTCACTACCACACCTCTTTAAAGGCTAGTACCACCTCATCCACATAGCATAAGACTGCCTACCTTGTGTGCGTAGTGCACTGCAGAAGCATGTTTTCAATACGAATGAATTCCTCGCAAAATGTCAAGCAATTACACTAGAGACCTATCTACTTGACATTGCCCAATACAAGTCGAAGGTGTGCCAGAAGTCTTCTCCCTCCCGAGAAACAATCTTACAACACAAGACTTCACATTACACAGCAAAATACAAAATAAACAGAGAATCACATGCTCACACGCGAAATAGAGAAAAAAAAATTTGGAAATAAAAGTTGGATAAAAATTTCTACTGACTTCTGGAGAGAATAGTGCAAAAAGCGAGTTTCGTTAAAAGATTGTCGCTTTCGAAATGAGCAATTGATTGTAGTGGGGGTTATTCCTAAAAAAATAATACATTTTAAGACATTTCCTCTGATTAATTCAATTTTGTCCCAAAAACTGCGCACAATTAGGTTTAGCAAACATTCATCAACCATTATTGTCGAAGATGAATTCTGGTTTCATTTAAAGTACGGTTAGAGGCAAGGCTGCTTAAAAAGGAATAGTTACACCGAAGGACTATAGGGACCTTGTCAATAAATTGTTTATAAAAACAAACCAAGTATGTCCATGAAACAGTGCCGCCAAAAGTAGCTGAGAGTATAGGCTGCAATCGACGGGAAAGCGCATAAACGCAAGGACAGGAGCAAACTAATATGTGAGGCTGTTTGGATGCGCCTCAAATTAAGTCTGTCAAGACGGGATGGGAAAACTGGGTTCATTTAGGAGCATACACTCTATCGGCAAGAATAGTTCCAGCCTCCTGATTTGAGCGAGGAAAATTCGCGGTTAAAAACAACCACTGTGTTCAGATGTGCAAAATAGGCATTTACACAAGTACTAACACCTACTTTTTCAGTGGTGTTTTCCAGAAAACGTACTGCAGTTGATGGAGCTGGAATTTCAGCTTGAACACTGAGGGCCGAATAACGAAGGCACGGAGAAATGCCATTGTAACAGAATTGACATGATCGTGAGAGACGACAAGGTCAGTGAACAGAAAAAATATCAAGGTTAGGTGCAAGAGTTCTAGGAGTATCTTTTGAAATAAGTTACTCGTCTGCAACACGAGACCACAAAGTCAAAACTGATAGAAGTACTGCCAATACGAAAAAACGCGTTCCACTGACTAGCGTTGCCTTTCCCCATTGATTCCCACAAAGAGTGCCGACTCAAAAATGCAATAATTCAAGAAAACAAAGGTTAAAAATCGTTCATTTATACAGTAATGTTTCGGAGTCGTCCAATGCTAGGAAATGTGCTACACTCTACTTCAGCAGAAGAAATGGTAAACAAGGAAATATCTATAAATACAAGTCAAATTAGATCGGCAACGCATACTAAAAGTTTGTATTATCGTAGCAACAAGGTTATTGCCATTTTAAATAGTTTTATGCTGCTGAATATGATGTCATAGAAATTTTTGAAAAAAAATGGATCCTTAAAAGAACCACCATGTTTTATGAGGCATCCATAAAAAAGCTCGACATCAATAACTCAGCAGGCTTCCCCAGCAAACGCAGTGTGTGCATTATGAGGGGTAAAGAGATTATTTATGGGGGGATGCCGACATCGCTTTACCAATAAAAGACTCGACAATGATATATTTATGAAAACAAATTCGATGCATTCACACAAGGACAGCGACTAAAGCGTCCAGAAGAGTGAGTGAAAAGCAATAGGTGAGAAACATAGATCCAAGCTGATAAAATTAGGAATTTTGGATAATTAACTTTTGACAGTGGCGCAATAGTTTTGTTGAAAAGCTCACTTGACAGCAACTCAAGTGAAGCACCTTGATTCGGAGACATACATCAAAACAGCCATTGCATATTAGAGCCTTCCATTGGGTGGATACCCTTAATCCGATGGTTAGTTAATTTCAGAGAAATTATTAAATACCATGTGATGGTAAGTGATTGGAGGCAAGGCAAGCGCAATGGCAATTCATAATCGTGTACTTCTGGGAGAATGACCCGAAATAGTTGAGTTTCTGGGGCGCTCACAGCAAGAACGGCCGTAAACATTAGCGCGGAATCGATAGAAGAGCAAATAACCACAAAAATTTGGGAAATTCGTTTTAAGGATTCATCCACAAAGAGCTTAAATTAGGCCTCAATGAGCCGGCGAGTGAAAACTCCGAAGGGAGGAAATTTCATGTGACCTAGACGGGGGGGGGATGACTAGAGGGGCTCGAAATACGTTGAACTTTTCTCTAGAAGTCAAAATCTATCGCTTTATCCTTCACAGTCTCGGCTGCCTGCGGTGAAACGAAGACGTGTTGTAGTTATCCTAAAGGACAACCAAGGCGTTACTTTCAGTAACCGAGGTAAAGAGGAAAGTAGAAGCGCTCCAACCTTCAACCCCAAGGAAATATTCATGATAATTTGAACCCGAGAGATTGAAACGGAAACAAAAGAAATAGAAGGGTGTTACTCGAAAAAAAACTTAGGACATGTTAATCCACCTCTTAGGAGTTAAAATTATAAACTTGCGTTATCATTCGCCAAATGGTTTCATAATAAGAGATCAGATTGAACTTCAACCCATCTCTAAAATTTGTCCAGGAGTAAATCAGAAAAAAGAGACTATGACGCTACTCTGAGATAAAAAGAAAAGTGCTCTAACCTTCGTCTCCCAGAGGAAAATGTGCGTTGCCTCAGACGCACGGTGTCAAAGTGAACTTGAGCGGCAGCAGAGGAGACCGAAGATGATGGCAATGGAGAAGTGAGTAGGGAGAGGGGACATAGGTCCTCGCAACTGCTATCACGGGTGTCGACTGTTGCCAGCGCTCCTGCTGATCGTACTGCAGCTGTGACCGCATTGGTGGGCTGAGGGACGTTCGACGACTCGGAGTAGTGGGCTGTGTGCCACGGAGAGGCGCAAGGAAAGGGAAAGAAACAGTGAGGCATTTTGCAGAACAAATTAATCGCGATCTAGCATTGTCAGGCATTGATCTACAAACTGAAGGAAAAAGTGAAATTATTCAGTACGAATCGACTAGGCTTAGAAACCAGCTTTAACACATTTTAATCTTCGGCTAACCTACTCCTAACCGCCTTCATTTCTATCACAACTTGATCTCCCAACTGCTTGTCTGTCCAATGCCAGATGATGATAATCATATCTTAGAGAGAATTTGAGAGAAAGGCGGCATTTCCCACCCTCATATTCTAAAGTGTGGTATTAGGTCTCCCCATTAGTAATTTTCAAGATTTACGGCATAAGGTTCTGAGTTGTCTTGTAGGAGCAAAAATGGGACCTCCTTCAGACTGTTAGTTAACAAGTCATGGGTTCTTATAAAAATTGTTTGATACAAAATTCAGCATTCAGTAATTGAATAATCCAGCCCACCTTAAGAGCGTGAGATAGTGAGAGTCATTTGGGGATAACTAGTGAAATGTTCACTCACCAAAAAATTGCTTCTACCCACATCAATCAATCATCCAGCAATCCAACATGCACTTGGTGGTGATACAGTGTGTGTGAAAGAAGTGAAGACTTTCAAGCTTACCCTCTGCCTTCCATTAACCCATGACACATGAGTGGAACAAATTTGCTTATCAGCTTTCACTATGGCTTCGCCTCCCCAGTGGATGCAGTTTGCGCCACTCTAAACGCAACCGAAAGTTAATTTGAGGTTATTTTAATCTTCAGAGGGGACCTTTCTCAACGATATCTGGACGGATGATGAGTTATACCACTACACACCATACTTATTCAGATGTTAAATTAGCTTCTTCAGCCTTGGAACCGAGTCTAAGCCGGCTCATCAAGGAGGCAAACTGGACTCCCATGCATCAGGTTTGAGCGAAAATTTATGACATGAGGATTTAAAGTGAGGGAAAAATGGGCAAGAGCTGAGAGACTTGCATAGATCACTGCTTTACAATGTAAGTGCATAAACAGTCGCATGCATTTTATGCCAGACAGAGTCGAGTAAAAGAAGGCAATGTAAATTTATTTGACGAAATTTAGCTTTCCTTGATTTATATCTTAGTGAGTAAGCGAGATTTTAGACGTGACTACCAAAGCACGCCTGCACTTTACAAGTCCCAACAAAGCATCTCAGAGAGCTACACTGAAAATTGCACGGATTTTTTTCATTTATCCGATGTACTACATAAGCCCTTTGTGGCCAAACAGCAAAACCTTGACTTAAGTAAAACATCACGAAATAAGGCTGATCAAAAAGTCAGCATCCTACTTACTTTGTTTAATTACTTCCCATGCTCTCTTGACAGGCATTTCTGTGATGTAGTTAGTTAAGGACCAACGAAGTATCCCCATTCTTCCATTTAATTTTCAAGTAACACGAAAAGTGGAATTTGGACACCTGAATACTCATTTGCGCATTTGCATTCAGCCGAAGAACTTTCCCTCACGGTCGGTTAGATGCAAAAGGGCCGTAGTGTGTGCAGATTATTAATTAAGGGCAACCCTCACCGATTACAAGTGTGGTTTATTAAAACGACGCTGTCGTTACAATAAAAAACGATGTATGTGGTGAACAAAGAACACAGTCAAGGTCATTGACACTCGGTTCGCCACAGCGCGAAGACGTAAAACCTGTTTTTTTGGACAAAACAACAAAGGCACTCATACCACCCATCAAACGACGTGTACAATACAGCAATCCACATGGTGGATATTAAAGGATTTATCTCACAACTTGAGCCTCGCATCAAAGGATTTTTATTTTAATCATCAACATTTCAGTCCCGACGACGAAGTGAATCGGGCTGCCTCAGATTTTTGTAGTTGCCCAAGTTTTGGTTAAACACTTGGACAGCGGAATGTCAAAAAAAAACAAAACAGTTTGGGTCATTTAGAGTTTGGCCTTTTTTATACGTTTGATCCAAGCGCCGCTGTAATTGCGATGAGAACAATTAAGTAACTGGTTGCCAACCCTACCACAACGGAGATGTGAATAAGAACTTCTATGCGTAAATTCACAAGTTGATAGAGGTGAAGCAGGAGTGGTCCAACATCTCTCTACCTCTAGTGGTTGAAGTTTTGGTACAGGCTGAAAGGCAACCGGCTCTTGATGAAGGACCTCAATGGATAAATTTATGGGTCAATGAAATTAAGTATAACCACTCACCTCGTACACTGACACCAACAGTAGCCTTATTATCTATCTTATCAATTGGCGAAGAAACACGATTCGACAAGAGAGGACTGTTCTCCGTATAACCGTCAGTATCAGCATCTGGAGGAGGCTTCAGCACCCCAATATCACCCTCCTTATCCGCCCCCACTGTTTCTCGAAGGTCGTAGCTGCAGGTGGACAAATCACCCCCAGATCGGGGGCAATTATTCCTGTCGGGATGTTGTGGAAGGGTGCGACTGCGTAGTGGTGAATGCCGAAATCGACGCCACTAGAGCAATTTTTAAAAATAAGCAAAGCGCCTGAAGCAGCATCTCGAGTGATGAATAGAACATCAAGATATAAATAAATCCACATTACTGACGGGATTTTAGGAAGGCAAATGCGTAAGGTAGAAATTCACAACTGAAGCAGGTAGTCAGTGGCATCGCTAGTGGTGGATGAAACATAATGAACCTGCACTCTTTGTAAAATAAATAGAGATTTGGGCAAGCAAAATGCTGGGTTGGAATTTAAAGTAGTATGCTAAAGAGCTGCGACAGGTGGTTTCGATGGGTTGGTTCTGGTCAAGAGTTAAAAAGAACCTTTCAACGGTAGTGTTAAAACATTGGGGTGGATTAAACGGCATTTACTACAAATTCAGACCCAGTACGTGCGATGGAAAGTGTGTCACCATTAAGTAATGCTTTTGGGTTCACTAAAGTCGACATTAAATTAACGGTCCTTGGAAAGACGAAGCGGTAAGCTGATGTAGGTAGATTGGGCTATATCTGTTTGAAATTTACCACAACACAGTTAAGATGTTGCCTCAAACGAAGTATTATTAGTAAGTATTAATTGATCATTATGGTGCACTTAAATTTACGCCAATTTAAAATGGGTGTAATCAGGACAGAGTTGTGTAATGCTAGCCCTAACTCAATGTTAGAGATGATTTAGGTGCCATTAAAACAGACTGTTAGAGGGCGTGGAGGGTGGCAGAGCTTAATGGCGTGTAGATTTAAAATTATCCATTAGAACCGAATGTTATTCAATCCTAGTCAAGTTAGCCCCAGCCGAAATACAACAAATCAAAATGTATTTGCATTCAACACATTTCCCCGTGTTTACATGCCTCAGCAATAGGTGTAGAAAGGAAGTAACGAAAAATTTAGCTTTGAAGGAGCAAATTCTAGTAAATATGTTCAATAAATGAGTGAGTTCATCAAAAATGGATTAGTTTTGATAGCATCCGACGCACAGGTAGATATTTTTTTAAGGTATACACAAAAGCATATACATCCCGTCCTCAATGTGATGGGGTATGCATTTGCATTAACTGCCATCGAGCGTCCAACTAACAGATTATGAGGACGAAAAAGCCTAGTGGGTTAGATATTGTCCACACGAATTTTGATTGAATATGTTTGAAACACTTTGCCTGGCGAGATTGTGTAGCTTAACGAAATACAGCTCGTGTACTTCCAATCCGTCTAGAAGGCAGTGGAATAAAATACGCCACTACCTAAAAACGTTATTCCATGAGCCTAACACAATTTTTCATTTATTCATATTTTACGTTCGTCTAGCCATGAACTTACCGATTTTCAATGGACTACAAGTAAATTCAGTGGTGATTGATGAACTCCAGCAAGGTAAACTTCTAATGTGGCCACATGTCAGCATATTTTTTAAAGCTCGGATGAAAACGTAAACATGCTTACGAGCATCAGTCGTTTTATTTGTTCCAAAAATATATCACAACTCCATCTGATTCATTTAATTAATCAAAGCAGCAATTTTTGTCTTAAAACCATCCATTCAGTAAATAATAACGGTACAAGTACCTGGAACATGAAGCCGCAATTACCAAAGGATATTTCACAGAGTGACAATTCAAAGTCAATTGATTCATACTCCGATTAGAGAGGCTTTTAAATGGAGAGATCATATTTTTAAAACACATTAAAACACTGTCTTTATAAAATCTCACATTCTAACACCAAAGATAAAGAGCAAGATGTCATGTTTACATTGTGTGAACTCCAACTCCTCCGGAAACGAATAGATCTAGGAGGATTTTGAATGCTAAGGCGACTCGACGAGCTTCTACTGCGAAGCGCATTAACATCGGAAGTGAAGCGATGAACGTATCGACGAAAGTGTTCACGAAAGGCGGTGGCACTGGACTCTGGTATGGGTGAGGGGGCGAAGTGGAGGCGTGAGACCTCAATCTCCGGTAAAGAACGTGGGACTTCACCGACACGACAGGCGTCAATACGGGATACTAAAAATAACGAGGCACATGTAAGAAGAGATAAGGAAATATAAAGTCCCCACTCACGAAATGTTTCAGCGGGATCTGATTGATGCCTTGGCAACGAACGAGTAGGGAAGGAACTAGACGCCTCTCCAGCATCAGTCGAAATGGCACTTTCAGGAAGGTTTGATGCACGCGACTGTTGGTGGAAGGAACGCTAAAGGCAATGAGAACAACAAACTACCTTACCGAAGCATTTGATGCTGGTGTAGCTTTATGAAAGTCCGACTTCCTACCTTGTGCTGATGAATCTTGGTGCTCCAAGTGTGGAATATTTGGGTTTGCATAAGCGAAAGAAGTGCCCGATTGGGGATTAAGATCTATAACGGGAAAAAGGCGAATAACATTGTAAAATGGGCATCAATTAAAAGCTCTTCAAACCTTACCTGCAATATACAAACCTGCCATGCCAATCCGACGACATTGTTCCTCTATTTCTTCAGAAGACGGATTGGGACGGACCACGGTTTCGCAATGCATTTCCTTGGATGACTGGCTGTGGTTCTCCTGTTCAGTCATTAAGATGCTGACAACATTTGGGGCTAAAATTTGCCTTACTTCACACCATTGGTGATAAAAACCGGCTCATATTTATCAAATTCTTTGTGTAACCAGTGCGTTAAGAAGAGAATACATGTGACTACGAATGTGACTGTACATGTGTAGGAGATCCAAGCAATTACCGATGTTGGTACAAGCTAAAGTAGTTAGATCAAAATATTTTGTATACCGTCGTAATAGTTACGGGAATGGTAAAGAAAAGGAGCCAGAGGAAAATATGAACAATCCATATGAAGTGCTCCTGTGATGGGTCAACATAAAACCCTCCACTGAGCGATGCTAAAATCCCTTCTTTGAAAATTCTCCCGATCATGCGCATATTTTTGCGAGCCAAATATTATGGAGAAAGAATAAGGCATATAAATGCACGATAAAGTATGTAAGAATCAAGGGTGTACGGTAGGAGCACATCTAGGTAACAAATCCAATAAGCGGTTAGTTTTGATTGGGTGCTAATGGCTTCATTCATGAATTGAAACCCGGGATGCGATTTTGAGGTTCTCTGTTAATTTAGAAATTTTAAGAAGAACAATTTTCTTTTCACGGCAAGCAGTTTTGCGGAATCTTTCAGAAAATATTGCTTACAGGTGCACTTCTTGGTACTGATGTTGCAGTTGCTATTCTCCCACATAGGTCTTGAGTTTATCATAGAGAGAAACTAAAAGCAACTAATTTCAAAAAAAATTGTGTATTAGAATTGGCACTACCTTAAAATTTTAAGAGGTGGTCCTGTTGGTTCTTATATAATTTCATAGATCCTCTTGTTTCCCCTCGTAATATGGGGTCCTGAGACTTCTCCGGAGACCAAAGAAGATATAATATTTGAGCAAAATATGTATTTTCGATGTGGAGAGGCTTTTAGGGCTACTGACATGCCTTGGAGGTCAAGCCGCCTAGCAGAGATATAAATGGTGAAGCTCCAAGTTTTCCGTCACAAAAACCGAGAGTTAAACAATTCTCGCATTGCAGCAATACTGTGTGGGATTTTTTCTTTGCCATGTACAATTTTGGATAAAAAATAGCAGCCAAAGAAGACAAGTATGTATGTAACATTATGCTTCATCCAAAATGAAATTGACGTATACCGGTGTAATTTGCCACATTGTTATCAAGTAGTCTATCTTAGGTGCTACCTTGGAGTTTGCCCATAGCGACGGTGATTTAGATGGGAACCTAAGGTTTAATAAAAAACACGGTTCACATTCTGAAAATGTGATAAAGCAAAGCTATCTTCCGCATATTATGGTGCGGTTGATATGAGAAGATTTGTTTTAACGTCTGTCCTTCATCCGAAGAAACCTGTTGCAATGATTGACATGTTACAGACGCCTAGCTGATTTCTCACTAGCTTTTGGTCTCATGCCTATCGGCCGAGAATTGTCTAGCATATGACATTGTGCATTGAGAAGAAGATGTTCAGGAATGTGTTCGTGTTAATTTGAGGGAGAGACGGCTGCACTGACCTGAATATCTGATTTTGGTGATAAAAATAATCAAACCCAAACTCATTGCGACCGGAGACGCCTCCGCCCCCGACCGGTTCCAGGCGACCCCTATTTCGTGTTGTTTTATCTACTTTTGATGACTCGTATTCTCAGGCACCAATCCACTTAGAAAAGTGTTTGTAGGAATTTCATATTGTCTCGGATGTAATTATGTTATGCCTATCCTGGGACGTCCTCATGCTTTGCTTTTAGCAGATGGCAGAATCATGAACCTCGGTGAGGCACTGACGTATTTAATTAAGTCCTCGGCGTGATGAGAACCAGATTGGGATGTAAACCTTAAATCTGGTACCTTGTCTTCTGCGCCTCTAGGATAGAGAACTGGTAGTTCAACGTGGTTGACGCTCTCGTCGAAACAAGATCCCTTCACTCTTCAAGAAGCATGGACGCCTTCTCTTTACGTTACTAATCCCTCATTCCACATAGTAAATAGCCTTCCTCACCCAAGAGCTCAAAACCGAAGGTTATCGCTAGAAACGGTGCAGCTGGACTCGTAAGTCTCCTATTCCAAAATTTCATCGGTTAGCTAAACTTACCACAATTTTATCTATTTCCTCCCCTGCACGATGGAAGTTGCAACACTTTTCGCCCCAACACCAGCTGCCTTGAAAGTCGGCTTTAGTCCAGCTGCTCGCTACCCGTTTGAAATACTTTGTCAGTATCAGTCCCATCTCGTTTCCTTCCGTGAGAATAATACTATTTTCGGAAAGGAAAAACAATCCGTCTAAAATTCAAACAGCATAAACTTTAGCCGTAATGTACAAACTTTGAGAACCCTTATGCCACCTAATTCAGAGGCACAAAGAGGACAAAACTCCAAATATATCTAAATCTGCTGATGGGAAGTCAGTATAACCGGAGCTCGGAAAAAAAATTGGAACTTCGTTTAAATTCTACGTATCCCAGATTCCGTGGTTTTCGTCACCATCTAGAGGTCGTGCCACTCGGCTGACTGCACTTCTGTTAACAGCCCACTAGTAAACTTTTTCACCTTCTGGACAAGTTTATGTAGACTAATAGGTAGAACCCCATATTTTTACACTTTACTGCGTGTAGCTGCATCGATGTCGATGTAAATTAGGAACTGAGCAGACCATCGCATGCCGGAAATTACGCCCCTGTCCGCAGCAACCCTGCGGCAAATTGAATGTGCCTGCGAGACATATGAGACAGGACCTGTTGTGAGATGCTGGGACAGCATCGAAGGTAGGTCTCGCGGACAGCCATCTCTACCTCACCACAGGCGATGGGTGTGAGCTTTAGGTCTTCAACCTGAAACCAAGATGCCTACATTTGTATGCGGAGCTTACGGACAGGGGAAAGAAGACGCTACCTAGAGTAGCTGCGGTGCAGATGTTTTTTTCTACCCTCTGATTACAGGTAATCACATGACGTTCAGCTAAAACACGTGTCTAGCAAATAAATAGCTCAGTTGTTGTCTATTACTCCTGAAACATTGAGGCCATAGGGGAGCGGTGTTAACTTAGTTCAGAGAATCGCAGACTGTCATGAATACGCACCACTCATGTCAATTTTTTCACTCCCCCAAAACATGATGCATTGTCTTGTCAGCATACTGGGAAGCGAACTGACTAGAATGCGTTAAAATCCGAGAACATAGACTCTTTCAAGGTGGCCAGATTCTCCACATCATATCTTTGGCATTGCTAGTCGATGGAAAGGGATATTTGATGACCCATCACGCACAGATGCCAATGTGATTTCCGACTCTAAGGCGCATAGAGGGAGGCTAGACAATTACCTCGCCAAAAAAAATAACCAAATGCAGAACTGGATCCCCAGCTATTGACTATAAAATTTGAATGACTACAGAAAGAATTTTGTCAGTTAAATCAAGCACTGTGCATGTGTGTTAAACCCTAGTTCTGTTAAATAATTGCGTTCCTACATTTTAATCTGTGTAACTAAAATAGGTAAATATAGGGTATGTTCATTTTTTCTTATTTGTGATTAATTAAATAAAAGGTAGCCTGTTGCAAATAATAATGCGATAGTAGTGAAACGAAGCCAACGGAAAAGTAACCTGAGCAAAAGATAATAACACCGACACAGATGGTCATCAATCACTTTACTCATCAGCACAGTCCAGGATGTGGTTATTTAGCAAAAAGGGTTAGAAGTTAAATTTAAGTAATCAAAACCGTCGAAAAAGTGCAGATTGTTAGGACATTCACCACTTCTAGCGCCTCCTCTCTCCCTCCTCCTTGGTGTGAATACATCTTCCAGCCTTTCCCAGATTAAGGAATTAGCTTATGAAGACTGTTAAAAAAACAGTATGGCTTATTACTTTGTAAAACAAGTTGTTTTAGTCACAAAAACATTGAGTAAAACAGAGCTTGTTATCCTACGTCAAGCGAATATGATGAACGGGTTGCGTAAGCACCTCCCATGAGAGTCATTTACGTTATTCCCTTTTGCATACTTCGTTAGAAGAAAAATAGCACTCTTTGGTGATGTTTTAAACAGCCAGGATGAGTCTGACACAAAAGATTCTATAAACCTAAAAGGGAGTTCAAAGTCAAAAATGAATGGGAACTAATTTGCCTGTAAGATTGGATTTTAATCTACATCGATGAATATGGCCTTTTTGCAAGAGAACCACTTATATATTGTGAAGACCCTTATCCCTGGACACCAAAGTTATATTCGAATGTGGTGGAATAACTCTAACTTTCTCAAGCAAACTTTTCTTAAACTAGGTATACCAAGGATGTTTAACAAAAGCCTTGAATTTTGTTTTACTTTTTCAAAATTGACTTACTTGATTACACTGACTTTCAAAGGCCATAATTCCATAATTAACGGTGTATATTTACAATTTTTAATACAAAAACAATGGCATATTGGTATGCCCGCCACAAACGGGTTGATTTGTCAATCATCCCAATCAGAGGATGCTGTTGTATTGATAACCGCATGGGGTGTTTTATTGCCGGTATCACCACACTGGTACGGAGTCCTTCTTATTCTTCATGACAGATTACGACGTTGATCGCTTTCCTACTTGTGATTCTTGATATCGTACAGTTTGCAAATACTGATTTTATCATAAAGGGGGGCTTTCCTGGATTATGGCGCATGCCTTTCTGGAAAGGTTTTTCGTACATTTGCTAATATGAAAAGGTTTCATTTTATGTGATATAGTTATGTTCATCGCCCATATTGTTCTCTTTTCATTTACATTTTGTCTTGTTGGTGCAATTTCATGGCCATCAAAATACGTAAGCTGCTCTTTGATTGTATTTCTTAGAGAATATACAACTTGAAACCCATTGTGTTGAATTTCTTTATTGTAATTGTATTGCATACGATTGTTGAACTTGGTGTTAGCACTTACATATACTCTTGGTATGGTTTAGCTGCTTGGGTAAGTCATACATAATTTTGATTCCCTAGCGTCTTCCGTATGTAATTGTGAACGTCATGTTCTATATTATCCGCTTCGTTCTTGCGGTATGTCATCATTCTTTGTTTTACTTGGTTTTGCACAATTTTATTTGGTGATTTATTTTATATTTACCCTTCTTGTTAATCGCTTTTATCCCTGTTAGGCAAACTTTGGTGAATTTTGGCATTTCAATCCCAGTTTGTTTGTAATTCAATTTTGGTAATTAATAATGATTGCTGCTTAATCACATTGGCAACGTTTTTGGCCTATTTTGCACTTTTATGATTCTATTGTTTCACTTTCTTGAACTCTTTCTAAATTCTTTGTTTTATGGTTCATTATCTCTCAAATCTATTTGGTCTTACTAAATTTTAGATATGGTTTATGGTTATCAGTTACTCATACATTTTGGAGCTTCGACAAGAACTCTATACACCGGTCGATCCAGAAGCGAGACCAGAAATTGAGCCGGCTAGCGTAATGCCCAGTCTAATTTCAAGTGGCATCCTCGGGCCGCGAGGTGACCCCCAATCAACCGTTCTTCAATGAGGATTTTTTGACCAATTTGCATTTTACTGCTTGAAAGCGAATTGGAATACATGCCCATAAATACGCCATAATGTACCTTTCTGGCATCATCAGTAGTAGGAAATCGTATCAGATAAGTTTGTTCCCGTGTATTCCTTTCGAATCGATTTTAAAAGAAAAATATCGGTAATCGTACCTGCCTTCTTACCACTACCAAGAACTTCGAATGGTATTCCTAGTTATGTTGACTGGTTAATTTGACACTGCAAAAAATAATACCTCAAAAAAATTATAATAGTGGAAAGCAATTCTAACAATTTTGTGCGGTAATTTAACAGCCCATATGAGATATAAGAGGGCTAATCGGAACTGCCTTATCTGTTTCACCCAGTAGAATAAGCCTCTTTGTTTTATGAAGATGGTGGAGACTGCTTCAGTGGACCTGAAGACAATGTGAATCCTTGCAGGTTTGTAAGTTAAATAAGAAATAACCTAAGATCGATTTACGACTCCTCCTAGTTAACATTTACTTCGCAAAAGATCCCAACTAAGCAAAACTTCGGCACAGTTTACCTAGTTAGTCTCGCAGAGTAAATCAGAGGTCATTGCGCAACTGGATGACCAAATTATCAACCATTAATAAAAAAGCAAATCAGCAGCGTGTTCAAGACTTAGTTATTCCTCCCCGCCCCCAAACAACTCAAACGAATGGGATGATTCCGCAAGGACATATTTATTAGTAAACGCTGATGAAGGCAAGTATGGGTTCAAAAGGTCTGTTCCGAGGAAACCTGACGAACCCTTGATGCTAGACTTCCGCCCCCTGAACGGCTCTCACCTGAAAGGTGCACTTGAATAGCAAGTGTATTATATAAAAACACCGTAAGCGGTAATATCCTAATGGTTTTTTAAACCAACCTTACAGAAACACACGAACAACTGTATGCAAAGCCACTTCCTTCTTGCAGTTTAAATTTTTGTCCCATAATATCGGTCGTTTTTACCAGACTACGGCTTATTATTCACTGAAAACAAAGCCCTAAAGGACTTCCCTAAAAACGGAAGAGGAAACAAAAATCAGGCAGAGTATGTAAATTTGACCTATAGATAAGCCTGCTGCTAGTGGCATGCCCCATAGGCCATGCTGTAGAGCTGATTTACAAATCGCGAGATCTCATTTGCCAACAAAACCAAATGCAGAATTAGGCAAACTATCAGAACATCGCATATGTCTAAAGAGTTCTACTTAGGACCTTAAATGTGCGAATGAGATGCTGCATTCGTACTATCCTTTAAATTAATTTGGGTCATTTGATGAAAACCATCAAATAAAACTTAAGTTAATTTCGTTAATATGAGTAAAATTAGTTGACTCCACATTCGATGCTTAATAGTTGGAACGTGTTAAACACAACGTGCTTACGCACCACATTGAGCTCCTGTTCAATTTATTTTAATTGTTTTTTTTTTAACAAGCATGCATTTGTACGATTTAGTTAAATTTTCTGCTTATTGCACTTACTGGATAATCGAATCATAATTGGTGGGGTCAAAATAGCTTCTAAGCATCTAAATTGGTTTTGCAAACTTCTTTTTTGCATGCGAAGTTACTGCTTTTATCCCATGGAAATAATGATGGGAGTGTTTGCAAGCGTTTTAATGACCTTGACTTTTTCGGGCTGTTCAAATCCTCATGGAAAAGAGTCCTGACGAGGTTGGGCCTACTGTTAGAGATTTGGATCAGGATGCTGCCTCTGAAGTCGTCGAAACAGAGAGCTTATGCTTGAATTGCCGCAAGAATGTAATGATTTATGCTTCGCTCCCTAACTTTATAGATGAAAATAATTCATCAGTATTGTTATTCCTGTAAATAGTTAGACTTACTGCACACTCGCTTTTCTGTCATTTATATGCAAAATATTTGAAGTTTTCCACTTTTTGGTCCTGCTGTTGCCGCGCTACCCCTTTTGAGCTGCCGTTATTCCTTCATTGTTTTTCTCCTCAGGGCACAACACGAATGCTCATCACAAGGATTCCATTTTTCCGAGAAGTAGTCATATCATCCTTTGAATGTGAGCACTGCGGCTTTACCAATCGATCGGTTGATCCGGCTGCACCTATTCAGGAGAAGGGAAGGAGGTTTACTCTGGATGTTCGCTGTGCCAAAGATCTGAACCGTCGTGTGATTCAACCCAGCCACTCAGAAATCCGCATTCCCTCTCTTGACTCCTCCTTCCCCAGCAGCGAGTCTGGTTAGTTTTAGCTTGCGTCTTCTTTGAGAATATTGTGTGCCTTCTTTTCACTTACGTAACTTTTTAATGATAACTCCTATGTAATGGAAGCGCCACCTCTAATCAGTTGTTTGATTTTAGCATTGACTACTGTTGAGGGCGTGATCACTGGCATCATTGACAAATTGGAGTTTCTTCAACCAGATAGACGAGTTAGTGCTGTCTCTTACATTACTTTTCTCACATTTTCCAGTTTAACCTATCTTTTTTGTTTCCAGAAAGCAAATCCAAAGCAAGCAGAGCTTATTGATGCATTTATTGGCAAGCTTCGTAGTCTTCTCACCCTGAAAACCCCCTTTCAGTTGGTAAGTGCAGCCGTACTAACTGCATGTAATAACTATTATAGCTAGGGCGCATTAAAGTTATATCTACATTTCATTCGGCTCTTTTGCTGGTACCCGATTAAAATTCTGATATGTGGGGGTAAATACTTTCTATTTGTTTTCTTTTTTTCATGCACAATAGTCGCTAGTTTGTTTCAGTACTTCTTGCTATTCCATGCTATTGCTTGAAACCATTTTAACGTTTCAACAATGTCTTCCATTTTACCTAATTAAACGGTACTTTCTAGGAAATGGACGACCCGTCTGGAAATGGGTTTATTGAAAATCTGCATGCACCACTTAATGATCCTCAAATTACGTGTGTAATGTACACCCGGACGGCCGAACAGGATAAATTGCTTGGTTTTCGGGACGATAACGCACCGACTGATGATAAAGATGACAAGGTCTCGTAATATTTCTTTTGTTTGAGATGGGATTTTCTCGTTCTATCCTGACGATTTTCGACTTCACTTTTTTAGGATGAAAACATAAAAGATAGCGTTTCCACCTTCCAAGTTACCTGTCCCAACTGTCATTCCGATTGTCCCACCAACATGAAAGTTGTTGGTACGTTTCTTCATTCTATTGAATGGGTTTGTATCTTTTTATGCTTCCGGCAGCTATGTACTATTTGTTAGGTAAATATTGTACGGTTCTTGTGATCCATGAAGCTTAAATCATTAGGCTCTGGTTATATTGGGGGCCGTCTCTTGCTATCCCCTGTACGTTCTGTTTTAGATATCTGTTTCCTTACCGTATAGCTATTTCAGGCTCTTTATGGATTACATTGCTGTATATTTACTTACCGTCACGTTTACCCGCATTTTTAGTTTTGAAGTAGCTAAATAATACCCGTAAAAAGACTGGCGGTGACTTTTCTGTATTAGTTAATTGGAGGAGTACTCATCTTTTGCTTTTAGGACCATTCCATTTGTTTCTTCCTTTCAATAAGAGTAGGTATTTCGTTATCAAATCATTTAACTGCCGAAATTGCTACTGAGACTAAAAAACTAAAAGAATGTAGTGCGAAAATTGCTTATTTGAAACAACGGAAGGGAATTATTGTAGAGAATTACTAAAATCTTTCAGTTGGTCGTCTTATAGATGGGAAAGGAAATGTAAAATGCAGCTGATTTAATACACCTAAAATTCGCAATTGATGCGGCTAGTTTGAACATTTTTTAGTAAACAACTTATTTTTCCTCTGTGACCGCAAATGAGCGCTTCCTTGAAATGAACTTGCTTTTCAAAGGATCATGTTGTATTTGTTCAACGTCATCTAAAATTCTCCATTTAGCAAGCAACTTCTTTGTGCAGCAGTGGATGGGCAATCAGAATACCTCCTGCTCTATAAACTCTCCTTTTGTTTAAATTTATTTAAAATCCTTTTTTGAAAATCTGTTAATCTGGCCTGAGAAAATTTAGCTTAATATTCACTTAATTTTCCATGCACACTAATCGTCAACTATTTAAGCTATCCGCTGTTCAAAATATTTTGTTATTTGTGAACACCGAGGCAGTAGGTCTTCTATGGACGATTGCAGATAGTTATTGCCATCAGAGTTTAACTGTTTTGCTTGAATTTGGCTAAATTTATTTGTTTCGCAACTGATGTAATTGATGTGAAAGTGCTCCAGTATGCCTTTTACGTACGTTACTCCGAATGTCTGTTATCACAATCTTGGAGCTAGTTGATATAAGTTAGCTAAACACTTTAGTAGGCCCGATTCGTGGTGTTCTTCTTGCGTGGTGTTGGAACTGGTAATACAATAATCCCGCTCCTTTTTTAATTCAGCTTGATCAACTCCGTTCTACGACCAGTGAATCGGGTCTGGAAACTTTTCAGTAGATTTAATTTGTCGAATTCTTCATGCACAAGCAGTCATTGCGAACGGAGTTTTGGGCGTTGTAAACGAGTTCTCTTCTTTCATTTAAGGTCACTTAGCAATCCCTTGATCTGAAACCAACGAATCTAGCTGGTAACTTTGGTACAAAGATGTTTCCGTGAATCTGATTCAGGACGGATAGTACATTTTATCCTGGTGTTTGAATTGGATTAAACTTTCCTTTGTCAAAACCGGTTTGTACAACGACTTCTATTCTATCTCTCGCTTCCTTACAGACATTCCCTACTTTCAAGAGGTGGTTCTGATGGCTATCAACTGCAGTCTCTGCGGTTATCGCAGTAACGAGGTGAAGTCGATCGCAGGCATTGCCGAGCGCGGTAAACAGTTCCGCTTGCTCATCGCAACCGAAGAGGACCTGTCTCGCGATATCCTCAAGTCGGACACGGCTAGTGTCGCTCTGCCCGAACTTGGAATTGATTCAGAGCCAGGCACTCTGGGTGGTCGTTTCACCACTGTTGAGGGTCTGCTGCGGCTAATCAAAGATCAGGTGTGTCCACTCATCTTGCTGTTTTTGAATTAGTAGTTGAATGAATGATGTTTGAATGGATCTTTCAAAAGATGATTTGACAGTGTATGACTAAAGGAACTAATGAATGACCGGTCGAACGGATGGATGTTTGTATGAACTGGATGTTCGAGTATACGAGTGGATGAATGTTAGAAGCTCGACTGACTGATTCCTATTTTCACTCTTGTAGTTCAAATCCATGAACCCGTTGCTGTTCGGTGATAGCTCCGATCAAGAGGAAAAGACGAGGCTGCTTGCCGTTACTTGTGATAAAATTGATGAGGTAATTCTTCTTCTATTTATTTCCCCATGGTTAAAGAGCTATGTATTAAGTTTATCTAGTAATCATTGTTATGCATGTAACGTCACTGCTCCGCCTATTTGCCGTTCTCGATCCTCCCAGGTGTTACATTTTTGTCCTGAATTCGTCAAAAAGGCCTCCGTACTACCTGTATATTTCCTGTCATCATGGTCTTGTCTGAAACTAACCTGAAATGTCATTTGGGGTCATTTGGAACTGCAAACTAAATCATCACAAAAAAGACATTCTGTGAGCCTCACCCCTGAGCAGTAATACGGCTGCTAGGTCAGGTTTTACTATCCTGGGTCATTTACCTTTATCAAATCCCATTTGATTTAATATGAGAGTTTCCTACCCATTCTTCAATTTCTAAAGAAATACCCGCTTTTAAAAACCACAATCAGTTCCTTGTTCTTGTTCATCTCAAGTGTAAATTGCAAGATGAAACTTTCTCGACCATCTGAAAACTTTTCTTTTGAATAATTCACTAAATGACGCGCTGTAGTGGAACTATGCATTTCAAGTTTGGTGGAAATCTTGGAGTTTTGTAAGGCTTATGCCTATCATGGTCGTATATCGAGTGCTTGATATAGCTTATTGTTGTAGCCTGGTGCGATTGTTTGTATGCATGTAATGATAAAACAGCGGCAGTCCATCGTGCTCTCCACTCTTTCCCCTTATTTTTGAATCCACCCTTGTATCGTGAAATGTTGATTAAACTTGGTGGATGTGATGAGGACTCGTCTGCCTTGGAAACTGAGTGTAACCAGGAGGTTTTGCCTCATCCTCGCCCTCCTTATTCCCAGGTGCCAGTCGTAGCCTTATCCCGTAGCGGACAATCAGTTTGAAAATCAAGACACGGAGACGAATCCCATTTCATAGAGTTAGAATTCTTGCCTCGCGTCATGGCAGAAAACAATAATGGAACATAGGGACTTATAGAGTTGCCTTGTAACATCCTCCATCGGTATTTTTATTTCAAATGCTTGATGGTTTTTTTTAGGTCCTCTCTCTGATACGAAAAGATGCTCATCTCGTGCTGAATGACCCCGCCGGGAATAGCTATCTTCAGGTTGGTTTAACTCCCATTTGCGTTTCATCGCTACCCAGCTTTCTTGTTACTTTAATAATTTGGGAATATTATTTAAAACAATATTCCAATCAGACGGTATTCATTGTAAATCTATCAAAAGATATCTCCATTTTTGTATTTTTTATAGTTTATTTTTGTGATGGGTCTTGTCTGAATGTGTCATGCGACTATTCCTGTGTGTCGAAGCGTTCGCTCCTGCGGTTTACTGAAAAAGTTGTCACTGTTGGGACGATGATGACCGCGCAAATCAAAGAGAGAGAGAGAGGCAGCACTCTGTCATACTCTAGGCTTATAGGCAAATTGTCTCCGTCAGCATTTGTGCTCACTAAGGGGATGGAATTATTTCTCCTATTTGCGTCCATAAGTGAATAAAAATTCCAAAGTGGGTGTAAGTGCTTGATTGATGTGAAACGCCGGCTACAGCTCGGATCACGATGAGCATAAAATGTGGTCCGATTCTTGTTTGAGGTAATGTAAAATTAGCCGTTGATGAGATTACAGGAAAACAGAATGCTTCTTTTTTTCTTCACCTACGCGCACTGATTTACGACATCCTCAGGTTTAGTGAAGTTTGTTTCTACCGAGGTGGTTAGTGCGAGTGTTTGTCGGTTACATTCCAACAACTGATCCTTTACTTTGAAGGAGGCGATAGGAAAACTGTTTTGTAAAGAAACATAACAATGAAGAAAGGTGTCATATGCTTTGAAGCAAAATTATGAATGAAATCAAGAAATATCAACATTCTCTTGCCTTAGTCTAGATGGGGAAACTCTCTATGGCTTCATTTTTATTTTGATCTCAAGCAATGTGCGCTTCTAAAGTAGTAAAAATTTACCTACAAAAAGGCTCCCAGAATGTAAAATTTATTCGTTGAAGTAACCACCATTGCAATTCGTGATCCTCCTCCCATTGAGCACAAGCTTGCTGTAAATTCAATTTTCGTATGTTTTGTATTGAGAAGCAAACAACCAAACGTTATCCTGGTCACCTCCGTTCCCGATCGTCGATTCTATTTTTAATGTAATTGTCTGTCTAATGCCAAGAAAAGTTGGTAAGTTTCACTCAGGAGAATAGGAAAGCTAAGGACGGGAAAGGGGTATTATCTCCCTCAACTTCTTACAAACAAGTTTTGTGGTAACGGCGGACGCATTCCAGTGCTCCTGGATTGTGTTAGCTCTGGGCCCGCTAACCGTTCTTGAATGCCCTTTAATGCTCGATGATAAGATTCATCAAGAAGCTGACTCAACTCTACTTTTTTTGTCATTTGCTGCGATTCTCTAACCGGCAAAATTGTGATTGCAGTGGTAAATGTCAGCTGCCAGTATTTCTACGTACCTTAGTGTTAGACTTCTGTATTCTCTAAAACACTCGTGTATTTAAGGTTTGGGGTGTACTTTAAATTGAGTTTGGAGTGTACTTTAAGTGACGGTAGTTTATTCTTCAAATCTACTTTTTTATCTCATTGTTCCACAGAGCTTGAATCCAGAAGGCACTGACGAGCGTCTTGAGGTTGAGGAGTACCAACGAAGCCAAGAGCAGAATGAGGAGTTGGGTATCACCGACATGAAGACGGAGAACTACTGATTAACCTCCCCTCCCATTCAGGTCTTCCTTATGGGGCGTCTTCTCCAGTTCACATCAATTTCCTCCCCGTGATCTTGTCATGATATCCCCTTTATTTAATTAAACTTTTGGGTCTTTAAGTTGGAATGGATGATTATTTAGTAATTACGATTTGGAATCGGGTTTTTGCAGTATGCTTGAAGGATGATTCGAGTGCCGCCTCGGAAGCAAGACGCTAGGCTAATATTATCCTAGCACCTCCGTAAATATCAAGGATAACTTGGAAATTAAATAGATATGTGTTTCTAGGTTAATTTTCGGGCTGATCCCAGAAGATTAGTACTAATCGTGTATCCTTAATGCGCCTCTGAGTAACTTCGACTTTCTGTTCTACGGGCATCTTAACCTTTCTACTGAGTCGTTTATAGGCGGCTACTGTTGTTATTGCCGGGTTTGATATTATTTGACCGAAAAGGAAGTGGGGAGAATTGTGACAGCGCATACTTTATTCGTGAATACTTGTACAATAATTACAGAAAAATCATCGGAATGTAGATTAAAGTTGAAGGGGTCTCGATATCACGAGGTTCTTTCACAAACGGCGTTGGAATCGATCGTGGCCCTTTTGAAATAATAGATTGAAATGCTGAAAATCCTTTCCTTAAGAGGGTACCTTTAAAGTTTGAAATCTAGTATTATATTCCGGGAATAATAATCTTAGTTATTGAAGATTAGACGCTTTAAATCGAGTGGATTTCTGGAAAAAATGCAATACGATGGTTGCTTGGGTAACTCAACTTGGGCAAGAGGGTTGCGTAGATGCTCCGCCATTGTTCCTTCACCGCTTAAACTGGCCTCCTGGCCATGTTAGTAGCCTTAGTGTTGCGTCTTTATTTGACCTTAGGGAAGACTTAAGGTCCTATAGTGGTGGTTGTAGAAAGCAAACCCGATCTCGGAGAATAAATACCCTGATTCCTACTGCTGGGTGATAAACCTTAGTGGGGCAGAAGGAGTAAATATACTGTGAATGGAAAAATCAGCGACGACACCTAACAGGAGGGTTGAAAATGACGTCTAGCTTCGGTAACTACCCCAGTCCCGTAATCTGCAGGAAAGCTATTAACAACTGAAACAACACTTTCTGTGAACCATCTGATAAAGTTCGTTACGTAACTGCCTTCTGTTCCTGATTGAAGATAACAATTATGTGAACTCATGATACCTTCTCCACTTCTCCACTAGCTAAGTAGAACCAGAGAAATATGGCTGAGCAACGTTGAAATAAGATCAATGCGGCAAGGGGGAATGGACGCGAAATCCAACCCCTGAAAGCTGTGTTAAACCCTGTCCTCTCTTGCATAAATCTGCTTTTAGGCTAGCGTTTCTACGACTAGCGGTGGACATGCGTGATGGCCAGCACATTCCCCCATCCCTGAATTTAGTTCCCATACAGGACGGAATTCCAGATCCGATAGAATTGCCATGAGGGCTCAGTGGCGTTGCCATCAAGTGTCTTCTCTGTTGCATGGGCATTCGATGACTTGCACGCGTGGCGCATGAGCGTTGCCTTGCAGCTCCAATCGCGTTGTAATGGCTGGCAAGGGCGGCTGACCAAGAAGCGTGCCAAGGATGACGCTTAAAAGAGGAGAGAAGCTATGCAATACGTTGGTTGTTTATTTGACTCTCGGTTTTGGTGAAGGACCACTTTGTACCTTCGTCAGTATGCTGGCCTCTGGGCTATGCTAGTTGCTTCAACCCCCTCTGTATGCCTAATGCATGTATTCCGCCCGAGTATTATGTTTTCTTTCGTCCTCAGGAAAATCTCGGGGTGCTACAAGGTATTCAATTAGCTCTTTCAGAAGGCCCTTATGAAAGACTTCTAGGCTAAAAGTTCAAGAAAAATTGTAAGTACGCTAGTAAAATTTTCATGTGTTTAAAGATCAACATTCCAATCGTACACTAATATACAAATATTTGTCAATAAATACTTTGGCTAGCAAAAATAGTGTGGTCAGTTCTCTCTAGAAGGCGCAAGTAACTATCCCAATTAGCTAAATAAGTCACATCAGACAAGCCCTCTTTCTAACATTTCAGATATACTAGAACCAAAAATATGGAAGTAATTATTTCTATGAGATAAATGTTGTAAGGAAAATCAAACCAACGGGACGGTTAAAGTCGCCTGACCAGCCAGAAAAAAAACAACGAAATAACCCAAGAATCAGTTGGAAATGTGAGAGCGTTTCATTTTTGACAAAATAACTGCATTTTGAGTGTTGTTTTAATAAACGTGCATAAATTCAGCAGCGTTCCACTACCTGCGGTGCTGGTGTTTGACGATTTACTATCATCACTTCAGTACACAAGTTACTGGTGGCATTTTAGCTTACCACCATGGAAAGTGACTGACTTTAGAGTTTCCTTAACCAAAAAGTCGTAAATTATGGAAAGATTTGACACTCCCATTTCCACCTACAAGGCTGTTAGGGTTGGACGGAGCCTGCTGTCAATTCGATTAAAAGGTCAGTCCTGTCCATCGCCAAGAGACGGGATGGAAATTTGAAGAAGCAGCTGATTTTTTGAGTATTTAGACGCATCGCAAGTAGTCACGGTACTAACTGGTGTAGCTTGCGCTCACTCCTACTCTTCTTTAAGGGTGAAATGTAGCTTTCCCCAGAAGGAATTTGGCTAGTAAATTTAGACATTCCATTGCTCCAAAAAGGCTGCCCTTTTCATGGCACCTCTTGGCCGTTAGACGTCTGTCCAAAACTTGCCAAGCGCTCTTGGTCGGTAGCCATGTTTGTCTTCAACCCATGAACCAAAGATTGATCTTCGTCTTATTTGTAGGAGTGTTTAAAATGTCTCTAAAATTAATTTTTAGATTAGAATTACTTTGTCCAGGGTGCTTTGGCCTTGCTCTTGAAGTTGTACCATCTGGATTGGATTTAACGCATCTCTGGTGTATTTCAAAGCGATCAAGTGGACCTCCTAAGCACCGTTTTTTAAGAAATTATTCATATAAGCGAATCCGACTGCTTTGGTGGACAATTTCTGCAGCTTGTGGTTGCTTTGCGTCTTCTTTTCAGTCCCTTTCGTATTCATTAGGCCGACTCAATGGGGGTTGGGAGGTTAGTGCCGTCCTGTACGTCGTCTCGATGCGATGCACGAGGACATGGTAACTATTCAAGTATGGAATTGTGTAGTCGTCATCCTTGTTGTTGTCAGTGCTACTGTCTGCCCGCCATAATACACGCTGTCTGAAGCCGTGTTAACCGACCGGCTGGCTGGACAGATGGCATGCTCACTGTCTAGAGTTTAATGATAACTCCCACCTCAATCTGCTATACTTGATCTCACATAAAATTCCCTTCGCCTACTGAGCATTTAAGCACGGAAAGCGGTTTTTGAAAAGAAATTTGATATTTTAAGCTTAATTGAGAAGATTTAAAGTCTTCATGTGTTAAATTGCCTCTAGGCGATTCTCATTAACTCCTATCCACTCGTGAGGAAACTCCTTCTAATTAGGCAGCCGCTGAATACACACAAAAATGAATTTTGAGCTAGCAAACAGTGACATATTCAATCATTAAAACCCTTGTGGGTGTTGTCGAGGCACGGTAAATTCATTCAATTATCTCTCCTTCCATCTCCCTCCTCATTCGAATGACTAATTCTCTTCGTTGACTCATTTTTAAGAGGGCTTTTCACCTTTGGACGCATCTAGGATTTCCTCCCACTTGTTCATCCTCCAATGACACCCTAACCCTTGGCTACTGTACTGGATTCCCTCTTTCAACCATTTGGTGATCCAGTAGTTGAGACAGACATATGTGAGGGTATCTGTTAAACCTAAACCAATGTGGCTCACAACAACTTGAGGCTAGCATTCATTTTTGGAATGCTCCGATGTGGATTTTCATTGAATAAAAGTATTGTAGAAGAATCGTTCCATCTTAAAACTTATCTAGACCGAATGTATGGCATCCAGTCTTGAATAAGAAACCTTAACTACTGTAATGGGAAAGTGCCCTGGATCAGGACGAATTGGCTAATAAACTTCAAAAAATTAAGTTTTGTGTGATAAGAGCGATTTTAGAAGGCAGGAACTCCCTAACTTGTTCATTGCATAACAGGTGGTTATTCCACTCATTTTAAATCAACCCACTTTCAAGTAGCTTTTCATGGAGCCTCCTTGAGAGTTCTGGTGAGTTTTTTCCCATTCGTAGATTCTAGGTGGGAAAGTAAGACAAGCTTAGCGCTATAAATCCACATTTATGGCTAATAAGGACATGTGTTCTTCTTCGTTGCTAAATGGATCACTTTGTAGGCAACCATTATGGTCCGACGAGTCTTCGCCTCTTGCACCCTTTAACACGGCGTAACGAGTGACCTCAACGACCTCGTTAACACGGTGATGATGTGAGGTCAACTTATCGTTCAAGCACCCAATCATCTTTACAAGACGCAATTTCGAGGCCAAATGTTAGGAAAGCGTGCCTTCAACAAACCATCACATCAATCATCCAATTAGTCTGTCAAATTCCCCTAGTCCTAACCTGGGAGGAGATGAGGAAGGTTAGTGAGGGCACAGTGAAGCCATTTCAAGGGTCGACGGGTATCCATCACGATCGGAGCCGAGGTTAACCTGCAATAAAAGCACCACCAGATGTTTAAAATTCGCCCCCATGGGGACTCAGGTTAGTCTTTGGGTTACGATCAAGAAATACGAAGTTTCTATGGTTTGAAATCAAACAAAAAAGGCTAACAATTGTGGAGATATGTCAACCTTACTAAATTTTTATGCTTTTTAGTCCCCAGTCCTCCTATTTGCCCTATTTCTGCTCTGGTCAACAGTTTGAGGGCACATTACTGACTTCACTTGAATCCAATGATAAAGCATCAAGTAGTAAGTCAGTATCCCCAGTCGAGTTATTATTTTTCCCCATAAAATGGCACGGCTTTCTGACTAGAAATTAGTGGGTAGATTCACAGTACCCCTCACAATTTATGATCAGCTTGCTAAAAAAAAGCGTGCAGTTCATTTTTCCAACAATGATAACCGACGAGAACGTGGATACTTACCCCGACCAGTCTGCTGCACCAAGGTCACGGATACAAAACGCTGGTAAAAGAGAGAGATCAGTCAAATAGCCGAGCAAATGGAAACCCATTTAACAAAAGGTTAAACAGGCGTTCGACAGATGCTGTCCTATTTCTGCCACGCCCACTAGAGCTTGGATGGCTGCTATTATACGATGTTTTCTCCGTTGTCTCAATGTCTTAATCACTACTATGCCTCCACACCTTGGTCGATTAAGAGTGATCTTGATCTTAATGATGGACTGGTTGATTGCAGCGCACTTTAATCGCTTAAACTTCATCGACAGGGTTACCACTGAGCTGTTTCAAGCTAATACCTGTATCCGGCGCTCTGTGGACCGAAGTTGTTCTGAAAAAACGTCAATCTAATCCGATGCAGCCAGAGGGTAGGGCAGTGATAGGGTATACACCTCCTCCATGCCTTGTTTTAATTATTCTGAAATTGCTTTCCAAATAATGCAATTGTCTATTTAACAAAGAGATACCTTACTAAGGTGAAATCGTACGAAAACACAGCATATTTACTTACTGAATTTTCAAAGAATTCATATTACTAGTTTGTAACCAAAGCGACCACTGAATGAGAAAAATTAGTCTATTAGTGAGGTAGAAATTCCGCTTTCATAACTCTTTAGTACATATGGTTGAAAAAGTGTGAGAATATTTTGTAAAATCTTAGTCGAGTAAATTTGAAACCATTGACTTCACCTGGTTTATTTCCTCATGGCTTCTGCTAACCACATCAGAGGCTGGGAAACCAACATTGAAAACTAAATGTTGAGGGTCTACATCTATAAAAATCTGTCAGGAAATTGTGCAGCTACGGGGTGGTCAACCACCGGGTCGTTGATATCATCCCACATTGGGCCGTCAAATCTCTCTCCAATGGCTGTCAATGCCAGGGATGTGGTGTCGAAGACTACATTTGGTTTAGAAGAGCTTGGATTTCGCATTTTAATACATTCAAATCAATTAACTTCCTAATATGCTAACAAGACAAAATATTTTGTTTTAGGAGCAAAAAGCTTGACATAAATGGCGCGATTCATGCAGCATCACTTTCTCCTCATATTCATCACTGTTGGCCAACTTGCATCAATGACCTTTAGAACTACTATGGTCATACAAAATGTTTGCCATCATTTACATTCATGCGACTCCTACTACTTTCCTCCCATTTCGAATTATCTTATCCTAAAGTGAAATTTAAACTTAACGGAAGCTGCTGGAGCTCGTACGTTTGCCAAACTGTGGAAGCTTGAAAGCGAAACTGCCTGAGTCCCGCCATCGTCCTTCCTACTCCCCTTGGTGCTATTTCTTCAAGTGACGGTTATTCCCTCTTTTGATCCTAGGAAGACATTTGAGTGTGAAATAGAGTGGACAGTTAAGAAATGAAGGTGCTATCCCTGGAGTGCTTTCTTGAATTCCTTCTTATTAAGACATATCACATTTCGATCAGCTTGCATCCTATTTATATTTTGCGGCGAAAAACCCCAAAATCTGCGCATGCATACCAATTCAAGTTGTAAGGATCTAGAATCTTGAAGGTATCGAAATTCCCTAATGCCAGGCTGACAGGCGGCACTGATCGGAGGTGCTTCAAGCTGTCAGACCAACCCTTTGCAAACTAGTCTACCTGGAACCTATGCTTTTCACATTTAAGAAGGCCTGCACTTTTAAATCACCCAATTTGTATAAACATTAGGTTTACATCTTACCGCGGCTACTTTTACAATTATCTAATCACTCCAGGTCATAGCCATTGAACACAGGTGTGTGTGAAGTTGCGTTTTCAACCAAGGTCGGTATTCCCGGTGTCCTCAAGACAGTAAATACTAGTTAAAATCCAGTTTTTATACAATGCTAGTTTATAGCTGTCTAAGAAATTAAACAAAATATTATGTCCTTCCAACACTGATCAATGAGATCAGTAGATTCATGCCTCATATATACACTTACCTTGGAGTTGAAGGGGCTTCAGCATTGAACTATCTCAAGATAGTTCGCTCCACTTTATTATCAACGGTGAATCGGCATGTTTTTACCTCTTGATTAAGGAGTGAAATAGTAAATCCAGATTTTACCAAATATGATGAGGTAATCTAAAAAACTTCTGGTCTTCCTTGTCAAAACGATTCTTCTGCTCGATACAGCAGTCAACCCTCCCATACTTGTCATGAGCGCTAAGCTGTCGTGGCACTTAGTGTGCGCTAACTTTCAAAGTGTGAAAATGTTCGAGAATGATTGTGCTGTGTTTTTACCATTTTAGTGCAGATATGTCAGGAGCCGACAGGAATGAGTCTTATTGTGGGCTGGTCGTCTGTGGTGGTTAAATCACCTGACGTCTTGACTGCTAAGAAGCTAGAAGGTCTACCACTGCAGACTGAATTCTTCCAAAGGAAAAAGGTGATATCTATGACCTCAAGTTTTGGGACCGCATCAATAAGAAAATTTGGATGTCACCTCATCCTGTTGCATGCGTTCACGCACACCACCGTTGGCCGCCATCTTGGTGGGCGGTGTCTGGTGTCTGGTCTTTGGTAACCTTGTCATTCCACTCTTGCAGATGGTGGTCTTTAAGTGCCTTCTTTTTTCCCTACCGGACGACCAAAATATCAGTAAATGTGGTCTCGCACATGCGATGCTTACCGTAGTTGCTAAGACCACTTATACCTCAGCACTCAAGTGGGAGCAGAAGGGAGATGAGTCCGTTCCCATATACCTTTTAATGGAAGCGTTGGTTATTAAGGCAGATGTTCCGATCACCAACCCGCATTTGTTTGGTTGGTCACTCCACTCAGCAATGACGTATCTTAAAAAGCAAAATGCGTTCTTATTTTTTACACATTTCTAATAAATGTGAAGTTTTGAAATGGTTGTTTAAGGTGAATACATAAATGTTGCATTTTTAGGGGAATAAAAGTAATGCAGGTTCTTTATTCTGTGTGTTTTGCACTTCTGTCCTGAAGGTATGATCTACTGGACTTGTTTATAGCCTCCTGCCACTTCTGTCCGGAATTTTTAACGATAAGATGTAAATTTGAGCATTTGAATACCTAAGAATAAATTCAATACTTGAGACAGGGACTTGATAAATACACTCATTAATTAATTCACTCACTGACCATAAATCTTCCGAACAACAATGTTCCTTTACCTTCTGGGGGGAAAAATTTGTAAATGAATGAATGGACGGATGGATGGATGGATGGATGGATACGGGATTGATAGGAGGACCAGGGAATGGATGACTGAGTCAGTAAATGGTAAACTTATGATTAGTTTATCTTCCATGCCTTACAAATGCATATAGATAGTTTTTTCTCACGAGTTCCACTACGGAATCACCATTTACAGAAATCCTTTTTTATTTTTAACGCTAGATTTGATATAGTACCTCCTACTTTTGCTCGGCAAAAAGGCATTTATCTATGCAACATCTTCACTTTTAAAAAAGAGTCGACTCTCACCATCCGGAGTCAGATTACTTGTAAATTGTTTATCTTCAATTCATTGTTTACTATATGAGATGTTAGGGACAGAGGTTGGACTACCGAGGCTATAGATGGTTACAGTTAATTCCCTATTGAAGGAGATCTACTACCAAGCAAATGTTCAATTTCGGTTAAAGAAAGCCCAATAGATTAAGGAAGCAATATCGTTACTTTATTTAATATAAGGGAAAATTTAAAATCCGATTTACTGCTATCTTTGGCACTAACAGGTGAAGTTTCTTACTGCTCTTCATATTGAACAGGTTCACTTGAGCATGATAATCCTCTTCTATTTGGCCCTTCCAGACAAGGCTTCTCATTTCGAGCCCATCAGAAAATTCCTTTTGCAGTCTGTAAATCCTTCAACCCCAGTAATAACGACTGTATTTCGCAATAGATGGACCCCATCAATTCACTCGCATGGCACCGCCCCATCCTCTTTAACATCACAAATGTCGATTGACAGCCATCCATCTTCATAACTTAAATCTCTGTCTTCCCTCTTCAACTCCTCATTTCTCTTCCTTCCACCACTACTGCCACTTGCCAACTTACCTCCTTTATAACGTCATTCTCTGAAAGAGTTACGTGGATTAGTGACATAGCATTACCAAAGACATGGGTATCATTCCTGTTAATGTAAGGGGGGATATTTCTTCCCTTTTCCAACAAAAATTCAAGGGCTATAATACTAGAAGACTTGAAAATATTTCTAACTTCCTCAGTCAGTGAGTCATGACTTCCTTGGCATTGACAATACGTTATAAGTCCAGATTAGCTAAGGTTAGAAGTAATTTTAAAAGATTTGTCAGATAAGGAGGTACTTCAGTGTAAGAAGGCATGAATGAGTGAATGAAGATGAATCACACTCCATTTTTATTGGATTTGCATCTATTCGCAAAGCCACAACTGGAAGATAACACAACATCCTCCTTCACCAAAGTCAACCCATCTCCACTTGAACTCCTTCTCCATGCTACGAGCTCATACTCTTTTACATCACCAGCTCGAACGCTAACGAGGCTGTTGCCGCTATTTTACCGTCCTACTCCAAATCACAGAACCATCCGCCCAAGCCCTGGGGACGGACATCTACCTCTATATCACCAACCTCACGATTGGTGGAATCGCATCTGCGTTATACTCCATCCTCTGGTTAGTGATGATTGTCTTCTCATTTATACCCTAACAAAGGCATTACCTCTCCAAATGAGATTGGACTTGTTACGGAACGCAGATTAAGAGGTAAGGAAATTGATGGACGGATGAATACTTCGATGCATTACTAAATGCATGGTCAAAGAAATAAGTAAAAATAAAGTAGAGAAATGAATGTTTGAGGCGTGCATATATAAACAGATGTAGGAAGGAAGGTAGATCAAGAGATAGGTGGGTGGATGGCTGAATGGATGGATAGATATGCGATGGATGATTAGACGGATAAGTGGGGGCCCTTGCTGTCAAGCGATCATCTGAAACGCCTCGCCTCACGCCACTCTTGCTCATACATTATTTTCCCGATACTGAAGTAAGACTGCCCCCAATCTTCTGAAAGTCTCACCTCCTTCTTTGCACCGTCAATATTATGTACATGTCTTATCCACCCCTTGCCTCTTTTTCATTTTTTAGCTATAAAGACATCTGCCTTCTCAAGAGGTGCAATGAAGAGTATTCAAAAATGGTGTTGCAGTGACAAACCAATGACAACCACTGAAGGATTCATAGGTACGCATCTACAGAAGTAAATGGAGCAGGGGTGGTGGTAGTTTTGGTTCGAGAAGTCACGTATTTACGGTTAAGATATCAGCTGCAGCAGAAAAAAAGCTACAGCCACCCAATGTGGCATGATTCTTGTAAAAGCTATCAAGTGAAAGCAACACGATTGAGGATTAAGAGAGGCTGAAAGAGCTACAACGTCAGCATTTATCTTTACAACAATATTCTTCCGTTTGAATGTAGTTTCGCTACATTTCCCAGTTTAATTTAGGCTTCATTGTGGTTTCCATGGCACCGCTTCATAGCTCCTCGTAAAGTGCGATTTATTTTAAATCGAAAAATCTAAAAGCATGAGTCATAGTACAAAAAATCCTGAAGAATTAAAGTATTCCTGTTGAAAATGAGTACAAATTCCTTAAAACCCTATTCACTGAGAACTTTAGTTTGAAAAGTGGTGAGCATGAGCGTTATAATGCACTGGAATTGAAAGAATATCCAACAAAGGGAGTAGATCTAAGTATCGTGAAACTGCTTCATTCATTGAAAGTCAAACTATTTAGAGCGGATGAATAAACCAACGGTGACAAATACCGCAATAATAGTTAAAATAAGATCAGGCTACACTGCTATTCAGCTTATTCTCTACACTTAAATCCCACTTATTTTATTGTTGAACTCTTCTGATAGCAAAAGTATTGTAAGTTAATAAACTTTTCCAGGAAAAGTAGAATACTTTTACAACTTCTGAATTGATCTTAGTGACATAAGAGTGTGTTCCTCACTAAGCTGAGAAACTACATTCAGGTGCCAGATAGAAAATACATCGACCGTATGTCACCGAGGCCAAAAGCGGTAGCAAAACGCAGTCCCACCGGTCCCCATTAATCGGCTTCATCCATTTGCCTAATCAACGGATGAAGAGTGGAATCAAATGTACATGCCCAATCCCCTTCCCTCCTCTTTGCCAACTTTCCCAGCCGAAAAGTGGTAACTGGCCGGGCCAGCTGGTATGCGTTTTTCAGATTGAGAGTGGGGAGAGGAACAGAATCACGATGCAAGCGAGAACAAAGCACTCTGTGAACAATGACGCACAAATACCGCCTCGCCACGTGCCCCGCACGGCAGGGGAGGAAGGAGGCATATGTTGGTATATCGTCAAGTGGATGCGGGTACATCCGGACAGGCCTAAGGCATATCAATGTGCTACGATGGATAACTGTCTGTTTACCACTTTTTGAACAGGTACCAGACAAGTAGGTGACACAAAATCAAGTCACAACAAGCGATATGGAATGGTCCGCTATGAGGATTCATCCTGGAAAGCCTGATTTCCATTCGAGTTTTGTTTGGCCCAGCGAAAAAAAAGGGTTAACGGATGTTTTAGTAATGCTTACAGCATAAACTATTGAAATTATCTTGATTCAGCTCTATTTAGGTGGATCTGATAAACTCATGTCTTCCGGTAATGAGAGGCGCTTAGCGTCTACTGGAGATCATACCCGAAAACTGATTATTCTCCTCCGCAATTTTATTCACAAATGAAATCAAATTCCAGAGTTCGTAGGATTAAAAAAGTTGAAAATAATCCCAGTATCTCAATTAGTAAAATATGATATAACCGCGAATGTTTAACACTCTCCAAAATTTCTTTTTTTGAGTGCCTATCAGTGAATGGTCTTAAAAATTAAATGTTGACCGGTCTTAGTGATTTCTCTTCAAAAGCCAGTGAATATGATGGCTCGTGTCAAAGTGATACCTCTAAAACGATGTAATATGCAACAAGTTGGTTGTTTGTCCAACTCTCGGGTTTGGTAAAGGGGCCACTTTGGTGCTCCGCCGTTGTACCTTCGCCGCTTGAGCTGGCATTCCAGCCTTGTCAGTAGCCCCAAGCCCTGCTATACAACGACAGTACAGATTCTGTCCGAGTGTTATGTCTCAGGGCGCTATATTGGTGGCAGAGGAAAGCGAATCTACTGCTGAGTGATAAGCCTTAGTGGGGCGAAGGAAGTGTATATGCTGAGAATGAGAGAATCGGTGCTGACTCCTACGAGAGGGACTGAAAATAGCGTCTGCCTTTCGGCAACTACAGGAAGGCTATTAACAACTGCGGTGACGCTAGTCGTGAACCATTCATTACGAAACTGTCTACCACTCCTGTATGGAGATACCAATTGTACAAATACGCCATACCTCCATTACTTCTCTACTAGCTAGATGAAACCAGACGGATATGCCTGGGCAGCTTCAAAGTGAGAACAATATGACAAGGTGGGATAGATGCAAAACCCCACTCCAACAGAGCATTGTTAAACCCAGGCCTTTGTTATATGACTCTGCATTGAGGTCAGTGGTCCTACGACTAGCAACGGACACGCGTGCTGGCCAGTATATTTCTCCGTCCCCAAGTCCAGTTCCCAGATCCAATTGAATTACCAAAAGGTTTCAATGACGTTGCTGTCAGAGCCCTTCTCAAGTGGATAGACATTTGATGATTGACACGAATGGCTCGTGGGTGTTTCCCCAGAGCACCGATTGCGTTGTGAGGGGGACGCCCGAGGTTGACCAAGGGGCATGCCGGGGACGGCGCTTAAAAGAGGAGGGGAGCTATGTAATACGTTGGTTACTTGTTTACCTTCCGGTTTCGGTAAAGGGGCCACATAAACACCCCGCCACTTTACCTTCACCGGGTTGGCCGACCTCAGGGTCAAGGCAGTAGCCACCAGGCTCTACATGTATTCTGCCTGAGTATTGTCTTCCTTCGTCTTCAGAGCAGTCTTAGGGAGCAACACTAGCACCTGACCTCGAAACAGATGAAATTCGCCAAGTCATACCAAATAGTCTCTAATATTTCCGTATTTTTACTAAAGGTACAGTTTTTGAATGAGAAAACTAACCATACACCAAATCCTCTCAGCAAACCATCCACCAAACCTGATCTAGAGCTGCAATAGGCGGGATAGATCAACCCAAATCACCCCGAAAAATAGGCCAAAATTTTTTGGGGCTCTACAGACGAAAGCACTGCGCCTCGACGCGTGAGAGGCTTCGGGAGAACAGTTGACGCTAATCAAATTAAAAGGCTTGAAAAATCGATTCCCCGATATCGAGACAGCTGACCAACTGTCAGCTCTTGACAGCCAGATTTTGCCAAGAGAGGAATGATTAGTAGAAAGTTTCACGGCCCCATGTAATTTATTAGATTTATACATTTGGATGCACAGGTGACCAGAAACGTAAGAACCACAGACAAATTCGCACCAAGGAGTAAAAACGGGTGGTTACAATGGGCGGTAAAGGTGCGGGGAGAGGAGTAAAATGCTGGATGATACTTTGAAACACAGCCAAACAACCAGCGTGGGACTAAAATGGGCAATAAGATCGTCACGATTTACACGAAGGCTCAGGAGAGTTGGCCTCAGAACTTTCACTTGATGAGAAACTGAGAGGCATTATCCGTGGCCGAATCGGAGTAGGCGGACCATCTGTCAGTAGGAGGGAACCTTGCCGAGACTGTTTTCCAAAACCGGATGACCTTGATGCTGATCGTAAAATGGATGATGTATTTGACCTTAGACCTAGCTTTCTGCTACGCTCGAAGGCATCGATCACATGCTGGCCCACTCTAACCACAGCTTCAACAAGCCGAAGAGAACTGTCGTCTGGACTATCCGTGGGTTGGTGAGAGGACGTGGTAGGCGATTCTAAGTCGATTCTTTGCCGCTCTGGTGATTGAGCACTTTCTGAGTCGATGTTAGCCGTACTTTCACCGAAGGCCAACTTCTGTCTTTTAGTAGCGCGTGAACTGAGCGCTGTTGAAAAAAGAGGTGGCAATGTCAGTTGTGGAGACGACCCAACATGTATACACACACAAAGACGGTCTCCCTTTGGGAATTCATGAACCAATTAAAAGATACACCCACTCAACCAAACCTGTCCCATCCTCCAGAACATGAAATTGGCAAACTTACGTGATGAGGTTTTGTGCGCGTACATCGTACGCACCTTTCGCAGAAGATGCGCTGCGTTCTCCTTGTTTTCTGAATAGCTCAGGTCAGAGAAGCTGAAAAGTCTCGGATTGCGAAAGCAGGCATCACAGGAAGTGGAGACGTGCTTCGTGAGACGCCGGTAATAGCGCAGGTCCGACCCATGGCTTCTGTGAAACATTTTCATGTACGCGGACGGCTCACATAGACCCTACAACAGAAATTAATCTTACACTCCAGTTGAGAGAAAAAGAAGACAAAAAAACGCCAAAATTACTGGAAAACGCCGATAGAACTCGGAGTATCCACCCTTCATCACATACTGCTCGGGGAAGAACAAGAAGGGATACCGACTGCTATTCAAGGATCGATCAAGTTTTCTCAGGAATTTAAACCTATAGGAAAAATGTTATAGGTATTGAACCGCATGTAAACACAATGTATGCAGAGCACGAATCGTACATGTCAGGCGCCCTTTGGGATGAAAACTCGCAATGGAAGATGATAACATGACTTGGCTCTGAGTCTGCCTCCCCGCTGATATCGAGAGAGGCGAAGCTGCTTTCATCTTTGACAGACTTGGGTGAATCAGCACCGACATTGCCGCTGAACGAATCCTCCTTTTTCTCTTCAAAAGGATCGTCGTCAAGAATGCTATCCTCACTTTCATCTCCACCTTCATCAGACGAATAACCGCTTCGGACGTAATCACTAACAACTGGAAGTGGCACATCGGGGTTGTCCTTCGCCAGCATCCGATCCAACTGATCACCCAGGCAGACAAAGGACTCATTTTCGAGGAGACTTCGGGCCGGAATGCGGTGGAAGACCTCTCGCACCAGGTCGCTCACGGTGTAAATGTTCACAGCTTCCTTTATATGACCTGCATTATACTCGTAGGGGAAGCGACAGTCAACAATGAGAAAGTTAACATTCCTTTTGGCGTATTTGCCGGTTAGGAGGTGGGCTACGGTGTCCACACTAATCAAAGTTGCACCGGCGCCTGTGCGTTCGACCACTGGAAGAACACTAGGTTTACGTCTATCGTATAAGGCATCGGTGGAAGTATTGAGCTGAAGAAATAAAAGATGGAGGCAAGCCCGATATAGGTGCATGAATAAGAATAGCATTGGTAGAAAAATGCGTAGACTTACTCGGTCCTGAACAATGTTGGAGGGGACCGATACACACCGAGAAAAGGGATGCCTTTTAGTGGGTGGGATTTCGGACCGGTGAGATTCCTTAGGACTGGATTGTTTTCGATCAATATCGAGACCAGATTTGTGGGGTCGGAGGGGAGAACTTATGGAGAGGGCCGATTCATCACTCCCGACGTCGGAAACGGAGAGGGTGTCATCGAGATTAGCATCAGCAGCTTGAGAAGGTGGGTTGTCAAAGACACCAGACGAGGGGGATGTAAATCGCGGTCTCTTGTGCGCAGGCGAATGTGGCAGAGAATGTTCAGCGAAGCGAACATTTCGAGCTATCAAGCTTTGCCTTTCGTGGATTGTGGGAAGTTCGGCAAATAGTGCTCGATATGCATTTGAAGATCTTGTCGAGCTATGAATTCGACGAAATGTGCTGGACTGTTCCCCCCAAGTTTGTAGAGTTGTATAGTTTTCTGAAGACTCTTCATGTATGTTTGACTGTGTACGACGCAAGTATCGAGACAGGCCGCCTTCGTAACCGCAGGTATCATCCTGACTAAAATAATCAGCCTAAGACTAATGAAGGTAAATACAAACATTCGTACCAATTCGGAGGTCTGTTGAAATGACTGGCTACTGGTGCTAAAGTAGCCAGATGATAGTGTACTGGCAATGTCATGGAGACCCTTGACAGATTCCTCATTAGCAGGCACAAATGAAGATGTTGAGGCCAGTGATTCAAGAACGGCTTGTAGAGAGGGCGCTTCTTGATTCGCACTTTCATCAATGTATTGAGACGAATATCGGTATTCAACTAACATTTTAATCATTAAACGAACCATGAACTTACTTATTTGTTTGTGTTTTCGATCAGGACACACATTCTTCCTGGACATTTGCGAGGCAATGCTATGGGCAATAATGCTCGAAAAGTGAGACCAACCCCTGATTAGATGAGGACATAGTCATTTCCCTTTCCATTGCATAACAGCTCCCTATATCTTCCGTAGACCCCACTAATCCACGCGTACGACCTCTTGAAAACAGGCGTCTCCGAACAACGCGCCTCTTTTATAGTTTGTGTTGAATTTCAAAGCACAGCTGATTTTCGGAGTGAAAACCAATCACAAGAAAGTCCACAGGCGCATTCTTTAACAGTATTCAATCAGAAAGCACGAGGTATGTGAACCAATGAGATTGCAGACAGAGCCAATTGGTCAACGGTGTAGCGTTGGCATTGGCTCAAGCTGTTTGCATGAGAGCGAAAAGTTGACAATACGTCTTCGCAAGGATGTAGATAGGTGGCAAAGGCTATTTGCATTATAGTTGATATAGATGCTAGCGGATGCGATTCTTTGTGTTTACTTTGACATGTGGTCTCACTTACACGTCATACATCACAAACTAAGTTTGGAAGCAATAAATCGATACGCCAAGTGTCAAATACAAACAAATGTATTTTAAAATTTGGTTTAAATTAGGTCTAGACCAGTAACGAATCAGAGGAATGTAGATTTATTTATTCGTAGTTCCGTTTTGCATAAACCAAGCAAAAGGCTTGGTGCCTGCAGTAGTAATTCTCGCATTTTAGTAATCAATCTAGCAAAACTAACTGAAGTAATCACGTCAACGGTGGTTCAATCCTTCAAAACTGACGTTGATTTTAAGCACATGCGATCTCCCTTCATGGAGAACACATTCTGCTCATTTGAAACGAAACAGCAGATCGTCTTTACCTCCCATGGTGCCATAGACACTCAGTGTGTTCTGTCTTTCAAGATGAAAGAACGATTATGCACAATTTGGCTGAGGGGACACAAAGACCAGCTGTTCGAACTGTCTAAACCAGTTTTAACTGTCCACCTGGGCAGATCTGATTGCTTGGGGAGTTCCAAACCAGATGTACAGTCCGTTGCCTCTCAGCTCATGTGGCATGACGACAAATGCCATCAATGTGAATTTCTATAACTGCATGAATGTCTCCTAATTTCTCCGTCCCTTCACTAATGTGGCCTCATTGAGATTTTAGGAATCCGGGTTTCCACTCGTAAAACCATTTAGATAAACACACTCTTCAGCTCATTCTATTAATAAGCATAAAAAAAGAAGAAAAAAGCAGCATAAAGTCAAGGGAAAGACTTAGGATGGAGTCGATTTAGGAAGTCATAATTTAAGACCGCAAAACAGGGAAATGAGCGAGCATATCAGCTTGGCGCGAGGCTGTAAGAGAGTCCTGAGTTACATGGATCAAAGTAGTCGGTTTAATCGACTCCCTTCGTACAAGGTCACTCACAACCGCCTGGCAGAGACGACCCACCTCACCAGTTGGACCCTGGAATTGCAGGGTAATCATTGGGCCTAGAAGGAGAGGAAAGAAAGGAGCTTCTAAAAGTTTGCGAACTAGAAGTCCAACATAAAGAGGGGTGAGGTAGCCTAGGTATACAGGCACAGAGCCATTGGAGTTAGTCGGCGTTCGCATTCATTAGAATTGGTAATCAGACGGGACACAGGACCGGTGCATTGACAACCGAATTAGTCATGCGGTAGAAGGGGAGACTCACAAAGCATAACATTTATATGATCGATCAACATGGCTCAAGCCTACACATACATCTCATGGGGTTTGACATTACAAATGGGTCAACTCCTCATAGCATGACCACCAGAACTGAGAGTTTATCCCTAGAACAGTAAGCTCTAGGTTGGAAAATTCTTTCATAAAATCCACAAAAGTCATTTGCATGCTTAATCAACCCCCGCCATCATGTAATTAATTACTTTGTACATAGAAAGAATGTAGGAATGCAAATAATAGCGTGGAAGTCCAAATGTGAGCACAGAGGTGTCAACTAAAAAAGGTCACTAGGAGAGTTTGTCAGAATTCACAAATTTTGCTCCAAATTAATCTAAATAGCCTAGTCCGAACATTTCTCAAGAATGTTGGTCAAACAGAGTTCAAAGATCGAAAGTATAGGTCGCAAATGCAGTAAATTGTAGGAGATGGGTTTAATCCGAGCTGAGGTCATCGAAAAAAAAAACATCCTCAAACTCTCAACATGAGTTACATGAATGATAACCAGCATTTATACCAAACCAAATCATCTACTTCAATACTATTTATGCACGATTTTGATTTTACACGAATAAGATAAAGACTTTCGGTACAATTTCCTTTGAATTGACACGTGCCAATAACTAGCGACGTTTTTAGGGACCTTTCAAGTGTGGCAACATGGATGGTCCTTTCTGTGGCAAGTATCGGAACTGGAGAGTAATCAAATCGAGTAGAAGAGTATTTAGAAATGCTGATCTTATTTTCCATGCAGATAGAGAACAAACTAAGAAGGAATAGCAACCAGATGTCCATTTGTCAACACATCGACACAACAGGAAGGCACAAATATAATAAAAAGCAGAATCATCTCACAAAACCTCGACTCTCCCACACATTCACTCTTAAGGTCGTGCAAGGTGGAGTAAAAAGCGGACATTTGCATGTCGTTTTCGTCCACACTCGTTCTGTCTGATGTACCACAATCCCCCACCAACCCTCGGACAAGGGGCAACGTGTTCCCAATTTAGAGCCAGTTCGAATCCTATGAGGGCACAGCTAAACTGAGATTTCGGATGCAGGCGTTGAACTGTATGTCGGGACATAATTTACTCCCACAGCGCAACAGCGTCATTAATGCCAGGTGATTCCTTCCCGACCGAATCAGGACATCGTGAATGCTCTCCCAGGGAATTCAGGTCATAGAGCTGTTCTACCCTCGTCCATCGTCGCACTAAAATACGCTTTTCCCTGCCTTTGAAAGGTCTCCCTCGTTCAGTGGCTAAGCAAGAAAACTTATAGAAGCCAAAGAGCTCTCATGGAAATCTAACTGTAAATTAGTTGGTTTTTTAAAAATATTTTCAACTAAACCTTCAAATGATGTTGCCTACCCCTAGTGACGTTATAAATTATTGCCTATCCCTTGTAGGTATTAAGATGGATTTCAGATCGTGAAATATCCCACTTTTTCGACTAGAATCAGACAGTTCAAAACGGGCTAAAAACAATGAGAATTACACTACGAGTTCTCAAAACATCGCATAAAAGGTTAGCAGTTGTGAAAACAAGTTATTCTGAATGGTTTTCAAGTGATTTTCTGTTGATTTAATAAACGAATCAAGGATGTAATGGATTCTAAATCGCCAAAAGGAAGCCATGACTGGACTGCAATTTGGAAAACCTTCCCCTCTCACCAGTCCAACAAAATAAACCAGAGAAGTGATGTCACTGACACGAGATGAATCTTGTATATGGGAGCTAGCCAGTCGAATTGGAGTTTTGATAACGCGCCTTATAAGAATTCAATCCGCTGGTAACCATGGCTCCCTCAGAGCTCGAGAGGTGCCGCAATTGTTCATCTTTGTGGCATGAAAAAACCAGCTCTTTTGGGAAATGATCTAATGAAAAAGGACACAATGAGGCTTATCGCATAAATTTCACCCACACCATCAAGATCTCACCTTGACGTAAAAGTATTGTAGGTAGAAATCAAACGTTTGCTTTGGGATGCTTTGCATTAACAATTAGAATGTTCTTTTCAGCTGATTTCATAATCTTGCATATCACGAATTACGACGGGTAATATTACCTTATCATTATTAATATGGACCCTCAGATTTAAAGTAATCCTAATTCCTCAATTAGAATTCATCTTTTCAAAAAAAAAGAAAAACAATGAGAATCTCATTGCATGAAAGCGACTTTAAAACGATCAGGCAAGTGATTTACTGTGATGAATGAATGAATTTGGGTATTACCTGTGACCCAAAACACCTAGGAGGCAGTTGCACAACTGATGGAGGTATTCCACGACTTTATTTCCACCTTTGAGACTAAAAAAGTTGTCAATTTAAAAATCAACAACCCGACAAATTGGCACAGCGTACAATTTCTCGAAAGCCGATGAATTAATGAATAAAAACGACTAAGAAATCTTACATTTTTGAATGAAAATTCACCATTTAAATGGTAAACTAATAATGTTGACAGATTATGAGTTAGCCAAATAAGGCCTTTCACCCAGCTGGCTGACAGAGCAAATATCCGTTTCAATGCCTAATATTCTGACTACCCAATAGCTCAAATATCGGACAGAACATGGATCTGGTGATAAGACCAAAACATTTAAAACCTCGGAGTGGGACCTGAACAAAACAAGTGTGGCTATTGTATGTAGGCGAGCAAATATGTTTACAGTAGAATGCATCTGTTGAGAGAAAAACTAAAGCTGAAAGTAAGAAAACCATCGGAAAAGCGTATCTATTTGTTGAAAAGGTAATAGAGACATTTACCGCGAAATACTCCAATTAAAGTGGTAACATAGGTTACCACTGGCTAATAAAAGGGCGTTAAATTAATGCAATCAGAGATTATGTACTGATGTCAATCCACCCACCCTAGACAGATGGAAACGATACGGTGAAGAAGTTATGGACAGAATGAAACATTCTTATGACAACTGCAGTCATTCAAGGCTTTTAATCCCCGTGATTCGACCTCCATTTTAGAAGCATGAGACTTACTTGTGCCACTCAACCCATCAGTCCCTCGAACTTCTCGCACACTTCCTTCAGACACTGCAAAACACCACGTATTTCCGGTTACAAAGAGAAATACTGGCTTAGTCAATCTGCTATAAAGGTAGAGGCGAAAATTTAATGTATAGACGCACGACAATTTCTCAAATAAAACGCCTTAAGGATTACTCAGCACCATTAGGTTAATGAACCTCACATATTACCCCGAAAGGACCATCTCTTTGACCTCTGTGAGGTCGACGAAATTGGTGTTCGATACTGTGCGCACTCGAACGCAACCACAGAGGGATAGGCCTGTGAACGAATGGGACAGAGGTGTAAGGAAGCACCCCCCCTCCCTCCTTCCGAACAGATGGTTATCATGGGGGAAACGGGGGCAACACTGGCACCGTCAGCTTTGGCGTGGTAGTAGAATTAGTCACCAGGATAAGCTCCACGTATGAGATTACTAGATCATAAGCGGATTCGGAAACAGTGAGAGATATGGAGGTATGCAAAACACACCTTATCTGGACGAACGGACAAGCAGGCAGATGGGGGAATGAGTCAGAGTTGAATGAAGAATGTGTGAGTCTGTTTGCCTGCCGGCTGGCACGCGAAAACGGCTCCTGTTTCAAAGTTGTCACAATGGATTCATGCGGACGATCCTGCGAACTTAACTAGGTAAGGAAATGAGGACTGCAAGAGGGAGAGGAGGTATTGCCTGTATGCAGGTTGAAGCCCCGTAAAAGAGAAATGCCTGTTTGAGTTGAATGTCAACATACGGGTTATTTCAGTCAGCCGCCACTCAGTCTCAATTCCGGTAATGATGCTACCTATACAATGAGGTGACAAGCGAGGTACATTTGAGTAAAACGCAACATGTAGATCTATCATCTAAGCATTTGAGATGAGACAATAACTTAAAGTGAATTCTCGATTGTTATTAACCATTCCTATTGATAAAAAGCAATATTTACAAAAAAAAATTACCAGAGGAAGTGGAATATCGGGGATACAGATGCCAGCATGAAGATCGATGACACAAAAGCATTCATGACAATGGTGTTGTCGTTGAATGATATTTCGAGACGTTTTAGATCTTCGACCAGAAAATGGCGATTTTAGATGGATAGATACAAGCACACACAATCACACATAAGCAACTATGAACCAATACAAAGTCAGAATACAGAAGTGCTCGAAAAGGAAGCCCAACTTGGTAATTCCAATTCACCTAAATTAATGCAAATCTGGCAGGTGCCTAAGGCATTAAAACGTCATGAGGTGGCACAAAATACAAGCGAGTGCATTCGATCCGGGTGCTAGGTGAGTCTGTTCACCCATTCGCTTGTGTGTTCGTGCTCGCATGTGTGTGACGTCAGCGCAGTGAACTGGTTCACGGATAGAGGAATTTTGAGAGCCCATTTGGCAAAGGAGGCCATACATACATGCGTCTCTCAAAAGCCTCAGCTACATTAACAATTTTGTGTAACAAAACAGACATAGCACCGACGAGTAGGCGTGGGGACAGAGGGAGTTAACTAGTTACACGTTCGCTTACACAACAATGCCCCCAGTGGCACCAATTGGGGCAAGAGGAAATTGTAGTCACCTTCAACGCAGACACTGAACATTATCCCAATTTGTAATATAATATTTCGTTAATTCTCATCTCAGTTGGATGAGGATTTAACAACGTTCGGCTTGATGGATTTCTTCCATGAAACAACATTGACAGCTCGCAGTTATTCCACTTTCCTCGTAAGTCTCGAGGATGGATGGTAGACAGTACAGACACATACTCTACTGACGAATTGAAATTTCATCTTTAATAACTTGCGGATAGAGAGAATTATCACCTGCTTAGACATCCATCCGGACGACATTTGACGAAGCTTACAGGCATCGTGAATCTCAGCATAGATAGACGCAAAACTCCCTTTCAGCCCTCCTGCAACCGGTTCAATTACTGTTCTTCCACTTCTACGATTCCATTGTAGAATTACCATTTCATTCGAGACGATGTGATTTTGCCACATCAGTATGCTGCCTCCAAGGTTTTCGATTCACTCAATCTGCAACTTCATCTCCATACTGGGCATATGAGTAGATGAAACCGCTTCTGCCCATCATACCCAGCCAACAAAATTTTGATGTAGTTACAACACCAGCGGGCCAACTCTTGCGACAAGCCACAAGGCTAGCCAACTTTCCAGACAGCAGTCACATGGTACGGTTGGATACTACCAGTTACATACATATCCGTCTCCGGTTCCAAAATGGAGAGAAATTTAGCACGAATCTGAAAAGCTGAAATCTCACTCAAGATTTGTACAAAGGTAGACATCTACAGCTCTGATTGAGCTGACTTAATCTAGCGTCCGAAAGCCACGAGTTTTGCCAAAATACTAAGTGTAGAAGGATCATTGGGCACAGATACGTGACGTCAAGTGAAATTAGAGTGTAGAAAGGAACCACATACCAATAATGTAATGACTCCGCTCACCGTAGCCATCAGTCATCCTAGCGACTGAAACGCTTCAGGAAAGATGTTAGTGATTGGTGACGGACGACAAACGTGAGTAGATAAATCAGTGTGGGCTTAAACACCAGACACTGAAAGACGGGAGTCAGATCTCAGTAACGCTGTGTTTACTATCAGGTCCTGAACAACTTCATGGATTTATGCTTTCTTGCATAAGGAGGTAGTTCCCATTCACTCGAGTGGAGCCCTACCTTCGAGACCTCGAGCTCTGTGTCGCCTTAATATTACAACTGCATTTATTCCCCAATAACTCACAGATGGGTAGCGTCTAAAATAAAGTAAGTGATCCAGATAGCTTGGTAATACAATTAAAAGTTAAAAATTTAGACCATTGGGTGGGTGTTCACATCATGGCAAAACACGAGTTAAGTTAGGTGTTATAGATGTCCGCACCACTGGAGCTCAATGTTGTTGAAGGAACGACTAGTTGCTGGAACTCTAAAGGAGAAGATAACACTTGAATGGATTCGTGTTAGTTGTTTTGATCGCACCAATTCCGCAAAGGAAGAAACTGCTGTTTCTATGCAATGTATATGAATGAAGTCCCATTTTGGGGATTAAGCACCATAGCAAAGAGACCACTTTCTTTGCGTTCCCACGTAGTGACAGATGGATAGTATTTCAAACGCTATAAGAGATTAAAATGTCTCGAAAATGGATCAAGCAAATTTCTACCCTGCATTAATATTGGTAGCTGAAGGTACAATTTCCCCTTCCACGTAACTAACGCTGATGATACAAAATCGCCAACCTACATTTGTCCCATCCATGACGGCAGTCATGGTGGAATTACCAACTTTCTTCGCTTGTCCGCGATGAATTAAAGATGGGTACTTTTTGATTGACACAGTAAATTCAGATGCCAAAAAAAAACATTCAAGTAGCTCGTATTCAGTGTACCAATGTCACTGCAGCGGATCGGTGGAGTAGGAGGTAATCCCCAACTCGACAAACTTTGCGAAATGCAACAATGCCTTCTTCAAGCCTTCCTGAAGTCTACACTGCACAATGTTCAAGCTGAAATCCAGACCAGCAGACAAATTCTTACGTCAAATTACTGGACTAAAATCAAACATTGACTAACTACTTCCAGACCCAATAAAGCAGGCTATATTTGGCAATTCAACCACAAGCGATTTAACAAGCATCACCAAGCTCTATAAAACGTCAATCACAGGGAAGGCAATAAGAAGTACCTACCCGGAGGTGTTACCGAGACTAAACTAAAGACCAGAGGATACTTCCACAAAGGAAGACTTAACCCTTTCGCACCATGGAAACTTTTAAATTATTTAAATCTTATCGATTTTTCCCTCAGTACATGGCATGGACGAGGTGGAGAGTGCAAACTTCAGGGTGAAACTACACCATACACGTTGGAACCGAGGTGAAGGAAAGGGCAAACAAAAAAAGACCATCTAGGTACACTTTTTGTGTGTCGAAAATACAACTGGCCTAGGTGTCCCGAAAATACAGACGTGGTTCTTGCCTGACGCCGCATCCCTGTGTGACGGGAGCGCAACACACGAGGTAAGGGGCCGCGTTTACGTGTGTTTGGCACGGACGATGACGACGACGACGACGACTGGGGGGGAGAGGGTTTACGCATCACCGTCGTCACCATCATCAAAGAGTTCGGCTTCACCTCAGTGGTTAAAAGGCTTGTCATATTTGCCATAGCTTAACACCTTACAAAGTCAATTCATTTGAAGTTTTGTATCAGGAGATACGTCATGAAATCCAACAAGTGGAAGTTTGGACCAATCCAAAATCATGCACTTTGTTAGCTTCAAAAATTAACTATTCGAAAGGCTATTGGGACACCTATTCAAAAAATTAAAGTACATTTGGATATCTTAAATTAAATTTCACATTAGAATAAATACAATGAGAAAAACTGGAAACGCACCATTCGTCTAATCATCCGCATGGAATATGAGCCACACTTCAGCAGGACAAAAAATAGCACTGTTTCTAAACCTCAGAAAAACTCCAAATTGAATGCCATTAGAAGTGAGGCAACTTTTGAGCCGAATGTCAGTCAACTCCTTCTTTGATTCTGATTGAAGACATGGAATTTCAGTTCTGTGTGTGACACGATTCACGGCAGGATGAAGGCTTTGAGCAACAAACTTCAGGAGCGATTGTTTCGTCTGTTATGGGACACAATGGCGTAGTTTAAGAGAATTGTTTGAGAGAATAAAACCGAATAACTGTTTAACCTCAAGGTCGTAAATAATATGAGTGAGATGAGACAAATAAATGAACCTGATTATAGAACATGGATTAAATTTAGTTTTCTACAAAGGAAACATTGCTATAAAAAGGATGAAAATGGGTAAGATGATATTTGATGACAGTAGAACAATCTACCGGCATGGAAGATGAACTGTGTCCCAGTAAAACATCAACTCGGCGCAAAAAACCGGACTCTGACCACCAAAACAATCAGATTTCAGGTGACTGGGTTGATTCAATTTTAAGGTGAAACGGAGGATCATTTCAACACAGTGAAAGCCATTTGAAGTATGAGTAAATGTAAGTCAGTGGTACAAAAGTAAGACGTCAATTCAGCTTAGTTTGATACTATTTATAACAAGGTAACTTTCCACCATAGGTCCTGCAGAACAAAATCACGGCTTTTCACCAAAAGGTTAGGGGATGAGCCTTGGAAGGCTGGAAATGAGTGGTAACTGTGTGTTTACTCACCACTATCTCAAGGTAATAGTTCGATCGGAGAAGTCGAAAAGCCTGCATATGTCACGTTCTTCGCCCGTTGTGTGATGAATGATCGTCAATGGGCCAAATGAACGGCGCCTCCCCCACTTGAGGGGCGTGCAATGGGGTGGGAACGAGATAAACCGCCACTTTGGCCGGCTGGCCCAGCTGGTAAACTGAATAGGTGGCTGTAAGGATCCCTCCTAACCTCACATCGCGAACAGAGTTGGGGCCTAGACTACGCGCTAACGGAGTCATTCAAGACTGCCTTTGACGGGGAAGTACACTCCAATGACACTGCGTCCTTATTCACGCTCTCAAAACATCGACGGACATTGCCACATATAGATCAAAGCCTGGTATCAGTGTAGATTTCAGTAACGGAGAATGAGTGGTAAGTTGGTTACGTATATTAGATCACCGGCGCGCAACAAAGGTCATTTGAACATCGCAATAAATAAAAGGCATGAATAGCTGCTACGTCATTTAGATGGAAGCTATACATGGAAGCAATACATGGAAGCAGTCGGCTTGAGCCAAAGAAGGGTGTCTAGGGGATTTCCACACTAATAGCATAATTGGAAATTATAAAAGTAAAAGCAGTGATGTGCCATTGCCTGAGACGTATTTCCGTGACGTCGGTGTCATTTAAGTTTTGGTGACTTGACGTAATGAAATTAGCCTGGTTTCAGTGAAATGTTGGTATTTTACCATTAAGTGTAGATTCATTGATCAAGAAATGCGGTAAAAATGAATGCTCAAACAGTTGAAGGCACTGAACCACCAACATACGAAGAAAGAAAAGATGAGTCGACAAGTAACCATCAAATCGCTTGTTTAGGATTTGAGAGAGCGAAGAATTACAAATGAGAAAGTTTCAATCCTCACGATTGCGTGCGAGAGTAGTAATTGATCGAGTCTGAGTTGCCATGCTACTGAACATGCCTGGTGGAACGGGAACCCTTGCAGTCTAGTACAAAGTGCCATTCTGCGACGGCAATAGTTGCACGTGAACGCCAATTATGTCAATAGGGAAGGGACCCCGTTCCGTTATCCCCTGTGTTTTACAGAAAAAGGGTGTGAAGAAGGCTAATTTGTATCTACCAGCATGTGTACTCAGTGTGAGGAAAATTTTGATTTATCCTGTGGTACAATTCGTGACAATCTTAGGTTTAGAGGCGTGGTAGTTGATTGGTACGCGCAACTAGTAGAGATGCAATAGTACAGGCCTTTCAACAGTTGCTTCTAACCATTAGCTCACCATCAAGACAAACGCTGGAGGCAAAACCTAAGTTCATTACCATGACTACGAGAGCGAATTGTGTAGAGACTTTTCAATGGGGTAAAAGTGCCAACTGTTTCAGATTTAACTGCGTCACCACATGAGGAGTCATTTTTCAAAGTGAAAAAAGATCGACAGGGGATGCATTTGCTTAAAGGGGACAGTATCAGCGAATTCTCTGATTTGAAACTGATTTCCAATCACCATTGAATATCGTAAGTTTAAAGACTTTTATTTGTAAAACTACGCATAATTCTAGTAAAATGATCATGAAGGCTTCAATTATGGAACGACAAAGGAAAACCAAACAATGTCGTGCGATTGTTGCACTACAACGCAAATAAAGCTTACAATCAGCATTACAATCTATATTCAATCATTCTTTCCCAATCGGGCACAAACTTTACCAAAATTCCAATTTTAGACAACACTTTATCATTAGCAGCCGTACGTATTTCTATTTCACTTCCATTTCCGAACCGTTTACTGCATTTCAAATGTGATCAAGTTGGAACGAGGCAAAATTTGACGAGCAGTTGGCTTCCGCAGCATAGAAACAGACAAGTAGGACAGGCAAGGGTCCAACCCCACTAAACTTGACTGTTTAGACCTTTAACAGGAAACGGTAAAAAAGAAAAAAAAACATAGCAAAAGAAGATCAACCATGGAAGTAATCAGCCCCACCATGGTAACAGAGCAGTGGTAGCAATAGAAGTTGGCTACAAAGCCATTTGTACCTCGCGTAAAATAAACCAAACACATCACGAGTCACATACGGCCCTGAGATGCGGGCACACAGAGGCACACACACACACACACACACGCTTGTTGAAACAGGCGCTATTAAGGTCGTTACTACCGCCCCCAGTTCGCCTCCACCCTCGTACTAGCCCCAAATACACATACATTCACGAATGTATACACGCGAACGGAAGGAGGAACCTACTACTACCCCAGGGAAGAGGAGCTTAGCTAGATTTATATTTAACATTCGCACGAACACATCAGCACGCGCACCAACCAAACACCTGGCCAGACGGTGACAGGTACCCTCCCTACTGCATCTATCGTCCTCCCTCCTCGCCCCCCTCTATCCGGTGCATTTCAGCATGGCTCCACCCAGACCCGCGAAAATGGAAGTAGTAAAATCTTCACACACACACAAACAGGTTTATCAAGCACATTAAAAGCTGGAGGCTTCTTCTAGGTAGTGTTACATCGTTACACGATGCCTTCCAGTTTTCTGTTACAAAGCTACTATTAAACACGGATGCCTGATAACATTCTAAGAGGGTAACTCGGAGTCTAAATTGACAAGTAGCAAAGTGGAATATATAGTCAATTTTTCCACTTGCTTAAACATATCCACTCGTAGCGAGTTCTAACTGGTAACTACGATGGGAACCTTAGGAGCGTACAAGAGAAAGGCCATTGGAGCCACGGTAACAAAAAAACTTCAGAGGTCTTCAGAGCACTAATCTGTACTTTATAACTTGTAAAGACTTGTCAAATGCAAGTGTTTATACATCATGAGGCGTAGATGTGTGTCGGTCTATTTGTACTCCGTTTTTGTTTTGCACAATCTTCCTGCTACTTTGATCAATCATAGCATAAAATGGGAGTTGAGCAAAAACACGATCTGCGAATATAAACGCACTTCCAAAGTTGGAGGAACTACTGACAAAAGATGTTGCAAAGCACATGGAGAAGGTGGGACTTGCGGCAGCTGAACAAGTGTTCATAAAGTTTTAATGTAAGTGGTGAAACCATCCATTGACAATTATATCAGCAAGAAAGAGAAAGAT